TGCTCTATGAAGAGTCGTTGTAAAGCTGAAAGCGTCGCTTCTTATTGGTAATCTGAGCCTATTGATCTGACTCACTGAAAAGAGTGAGAATGGCCATCACTAGTTGTGCGAGTGTGCATGTGAGACTCCTTTCCACCGACTTTTAATTTCAAACAGACCTTTTGCTGCAGTCTTCACAGCACGCCTACAAGCTATACAGTTTTATCCTGTTCCAACATTAAATGCCAGCATTTGATGGGGCCGTATTGGCCTATACTGCTGTGCAGTGCACAGTAAAATGAACTTTTTAACCCCTAGGATTTACATTTACTGCTGTGAGACAACAGCACAGGCAAGAGATATGAGTCTTGCAATGAAACAGGAGTTCTTAACTAAACCATTAGACACATTAGATTCTGATTCTGATTTTACTTGGGCTTTGGAACCCTGACCCCACCATCAATGGTAATTGTAAACCTACAAAGTGTACCTGCATTGAGTGTAGGTACAAGATAGGTGTACCTAATAAACTGGCAATTGTGTGTACTTCCTGCTTTGAAAATATTAGTAGTTGTGGCAACTGACGAGGCCTCAACTTACTGAGAACCCAAAGATAACTAGCAGTTTTTGACCTCCATCCACAACCTTGAAAGGTGAAAAAATGCAAAGCAGCATGTTTTTTTATATATATATACTGCTTTATTTCCAGCTTTAGCTTTTCTCAGTAATCAGTGAGACTCCTTCATGCATAGAGATATAGAGATTCAGTCACCAGCATTTCCTGCACCTCCAGGTTCAAGCAGCAGACAACCAAATTTGCCTCCTCCATGACAACAGCTTTACGCAAGAATTTACCACGTCTCAAAGTCCATCAGTCTCTGTGTTCACTGAAATCCATTAAAACTACAAACGCCTGCTGCTGCTCTCTTTCCTTGGCCCAAGCCAAAGAACTCAAGATGGATTAAGTGTTTTTTTTTTTTTTTCATAGAGAGATGCTGGAAAGGCATCGGTTTAATGAAGGCTGAAGCATTTGAGCTGTAGCATCCAGTCCAAATTTCAAGCCGCAGTACTTCTGCCAGTATGCAGTTCTGGAGAGATGCTGAGCATTGGAAACCTGGAGAACAGGGGCTTTATGAAGCTGACAGTGTACTTCCAATGAAAAAAGAACTAAATAAAAATATAAACTTCTGTTGAACACAGTGTCGTAATTAGACTTAAGGAGAACTTTGTGTATGTCTCAGCACCACTAGTGCAGTGGACAGGTCACACTCAGGGGGAGGTCTCAGAGCAAACAACGCAGTGATTAGGACGAATCACAGTCAGGCTGAGGTCTCAGAACAAATGAGGTGGTTAATTAGGACCAATCACAGTCCGGAGGAGGCCTCAGAACAAACCAAACAGTGACTAGGACCAGTCACAATCAGGGGAGGTCTCAGAATAAACAAGCTGGTGATTAGGAGTTCTGTTCAGCAAGTAGTGCACAGCCCATAAACAAACTCAAACCGCAGTGTCATTTTGGCCTAAAAGACATTGTTTTGCTTCAACACATTGTTCTTGCCCTCGTCAATTAATATGATGCGTTTATAGAAATATAGAATGTTTTGTAGTGTTGTAGTACTTGAGTCCAGTCTTGGTCTTGAGATCATAAAACAGAATAAAACAGTGTTTTCTCTACATGTTTAAATAAAATCCCGTCGCTGCTGGTTGAGGAACTAATTGATTATTTCCATGATGTTTGTTGAGGTTTATTAGCTTCAGAATTCAAACATCCCCTGGGAGCAATGTCGTTATTTGTTTATCATTCATTTAATAACTAAAATGTACATATTTTTAGTTTGTATTACTAAAACATTAGCATTTTGTTTCATTTTATTTCATCAATACTTACGGATGGACAATTATATTGGAATCATATTGTCAGATAATTGCATAAAAAAAATAAATTATAAATATTTGGACAGCTTAATGCTAATCCAAGTAGATAATGTCTAAATTTCTACATTTAATACATGTTTATATATTATTATTGGCATTGCCCATCGACATTGGCCCACAATTCCCATATCGGTGCATTCTTTTTATATGATTTGTGACAGCTAGCATGCGTGATACTGAAACGGGCATTTGCATCAATCAGCACAACAGGGCTGATGAGATAGAGATGTTCATGAATGTCGACAAATGGAGGAAAACATGGGGAAAGAACAAGGGTTCAGGAAATCACTAGGCCTCAGTGACGCCAGCACACTGCAGCTGCTGGCAGCATGAGGAAAGAGGGCAGCAAGAAATGAACGTTAACAAAACCACCCCCGGATTCGCTGATCTGTGACCAGATGAACTTCAGCACTCTGAATGCTGATGGCTAGAACTGTGGGAGGTTGAACTGATCCTCGGTCGCGGACAGAGGGCACATGCTTCCGTGAGCATGGCCAGCTCCATAAGGAGGAGTAGTTAACCATGATGAAGCACTTCCTCTAAACACTGTGCTAAACAGTTGGTTCTCGGAAGCCGCTTTCCAGCCGTAGCTTGTGTGTCATATTCAGCCATGTGTCATATTCAGCCGGTCAGCTTTCTTTAAAGTGTGACAAATTAGATTTTCCCCTTTCCCCAAATGTGGTCAATCAACTAAGACATGTTTGTTACCTCTTTAGTTTTGCACTGGAGCTTTGGGGCTACTGTAGCTAAGAAGTAATGGAAGTCTATGACAGCAAATTAGCATTGTGCAGACTGCATGCCTAAATCATTAAACCTCAGCCTTCATTGATTGGTTAATAATGGAGTCAAAGGTAATGCATTAAGAACACAGCAATGCGGTAAATGGTTGACACCACAAATTTTATAACACCACTGACACGTTGTGACTTAGCTGTTTCATTCAAATACAGCTTTTAAATGGCAAGTTTCATTAATGGCTCTCTTGACAAAACCAGTGTTATTTCCTGCTGCTGCCATTGTGAATTTTCTTTATCACTTAAGTAGATCAAGTTTGAAGTATCATTTACAAGCAAAAATCACTGCTGATGCCAACCATAGCAGTAATTTAGCAGATGACGCTGGACATTGCTTGTGGAAGATCTATGGATAACAACAGGCAGCAAACTAACAAAAGCAATAAGTGGAAAGCTCCAAACTCTCCAAACAAGATCTTACGTCGAGCTATGAGAATGTAAGGGCTACAGTAATGTAGGAGCTTGAACTTGCAGCCATACTGCTCTCAGTGGATGATGGCGATGATAATTAGACTTGTTCACTCAGGCTCATGTAAACAGGTAAAATAATGTTAAATTAAATTATGGAAAGTAAAAAATACATTCTGATGGAGCTTATTTTGTCCACTCATAACTTTTTAAATGAATAAAATCTTCTTTAGGGTCAAATCAAAGCAAATGAGACAAAAGCATTTAATCATGATTAACTATATAAAACTATATAGTTTAAAACTATATAAAATAATAGATTATTTATTTGACAGCTCTAGTGGTTAAGCGGTCTCGAATAGCTTTGCTTATGTGGTTTCAGGCTTCAAGATGGATACTATTATTATAAGTACGCAATGTACTTTGGTCAATTTTTATAGATAGCGCTGTCATACGATGTCAGAAACTGTATAAGCAAGTCTGTTAGAGGTTACTTAAAGTGGAATGCCACCTACTTTTCAAAATGTCTGCCTGATTCGATCATTGAGATGTACACAAAGTCATTCAGGGTCATTCATTTTTTTAACTTTTTATTTTTTTCCCTGTTTTTAATGTTCATGTGATCTTATTTAAATGTATCTTTTTTTTCTCTTTTGTCTTTTAACCCTTTGTGAAGCACTTTGAGCTGTATTTATGTGTGAAAGGGATTGCGATAATACACAAATACACAAATATAACCCATTTTATTCGCTAACCAAAAGTCAGTGAAGCTTCATGAGTTTGTTATGGTAATAATCATTAAATAGTGGTAAATCTGAACAAAAAGGTTTCTTTGGGATTATTTTGTACCTCTCCACCATGAATGGATTTAAAACATACATGTTTTAGGCCAAAACCTTCTCAAAATGTCATAAAACAATGTCATCTGTGACATCAGGCAGTGTATTCATAACTGTTTCATGTGAGGGAGCTTTTAGACACATTAAACTTTTCAGACGTCTGGTTCCCTTCACCACCACTGTGAACAGTTCTGACTCGGTAATGAGCATGGCATAACAGACCACTCTGAATACCTTTGTTTGCATCTTGTTCATGTAATTATACAGAAATGTTCAAAAATAGGTGGAATTCTCCTTTAACAGTGTGACACGGCCTGAGGCACATGTATGGTGATTTAGGAATTGTTTGCACAGTGTTAATTGGTGAAGTATAAGCTTCCCTTTTTGGGCAAAACTACTCCTAAGGGATTTTAGCTATGTGCTTCACATTTGGGGTGAGGGGAAAATTGCATGGCTATAGCTTTCTTGTCTTCGTAGAAATACCACCAAGGAATCCCAGACGCTTGAAAACAGAAGTTCTGAAATCCCACCCTCTTCCTTTAAACTGAAGCAATTTCCTCATTGTGGCATGATATTTACTCCCTGCCAATGAAATCAGTTGAGGGTTATACAACTGCATCTAATTCATCATGCATGAATGAGGATTTTTCAGATTCAGCAGGCCAGCGTTGTGAAAATGTGAGACCTGACAGATTGGCATTTTATTGGTCAACATGCAGGCCAAGACACAAATCCCTTGGCACCACAAATCAAATAACAGGATACTTTTTGTGTGCTTTTGTGTTATTACTCGCTCTGTTTTTCTAACTGTCTTCTGTCTAGCACTTAGAGTCAGGATATGCTCTTTTGGTAAGACTAGTGAAGCTTTTTTCAGAAGTCACGGACTGTTTTAGAGTTTAGTAGACCCCCATTTTCGTTTAAGTGTGATAAGTGGACGTGAACTGAAACTTATGTGGTTTTAACACCGGCACAAGTGTGCATACATATGTGCTATTCACAGCTGAGTGGTTCTCTGTTTTAACACTTCTCTTCTTCTACTTTGCAGATCTCTCCACAGCACAGAGGAAGTTTGCTGACTCGCTGAACGAATTCAAGTTCCAGTGCATAGGGGACGCTGAAACAGATGATGAAATGTGCATTGGTGAGATATAACGATGCTGCTCATTAAACCTGTTAGAATTCCCATTTGACTTTTGCTTCAAGGACGGGCCCATAGCCTACACTGAGTTCCATTTGTGAAGGTTGTGTTGTTTGTGTACCAAAAGCAGTCGTAAATCATTTTTACTTGACAGTTTTTACGTGACCATCTTCTTTACGTCCCTCAGTATTAAACAGGTTGTTTTTATTACTGCGCCTTTGAGACTGATATATGAAAATGACCTCTGTTTTTGGTTGGCCCTGGGTTGTGCCTCCTTCAAGAAACAGTGCAGACCAAAATCCTTCACACAGTGTGAATAGGCGGGCTGATCTGGTACAGCCTGAATAGGTAGATATATGTAAATATGTTGATATTTCAAAACAGGCTGTTTTTGCAGGTTAGTTTCTATATATGCAACTGTATGGTGTCGGATGGAACGTTATGTTTGGGAACATTAACGTTTACATGCTACATCACACTATTTCATATCAGAAAAACAAAGAAATATGAGCCCTTTTAAATGGCTTATGTTATGTTGTTAAATCACGAAGCAACGCATACACAGTCAAATTACTTTTTAAAGGGTTTGTTCAATGCTCAGTCAGCATTACTGTACAACAGTGAGAGACCACCCTCCATGAATTTCTAGTCAAAACAGCCATTCAGTACAAGACATACATTTTTCAGCATTAGGAAAAATCAGAAAAAATATATGGAACAGAAAATTACACACAGCCTCAACAACTAAATATCACACTTTTAGTACTTATTGTTTTCACTTCTTGCTTTTTTTCGAACCCGTTCTGTGGTGTTTTAAGCTGAGTCCGGACCAGCGTGGAACGGCACAGTACGGTCCTGAGAACCATTTCGACATTGGAAAAAAGGCCCTTTTTTATACTCAGAAAATGAAATACATGAATTGTGGTCTTTGACTTTTGCTCATACTACATACTGTGTTGCCACTTTTTAAAATATGCCTACCTTGTCATTGGCCTATCATTAGCCATTTTATCAGATACACCTACAGTATAGGTGCACTTTGTAGCTCATGTGTTACTGGACTATTTATCAGCCCCCCTCTACACTGGTCATCAGTTGAAATGCACTGATCACAGCAGAGTTGGAGGAGATTTTTAAACATTGCGTACACTTAATTTATTACACGCACCTACTTTGTTGGTACATCATATGGATGTACAGTTATAGACTATAGCTTATTATTTTCCATGCAAAGTTTGTGTCAGCCATCTTATACATCCTCATCAGTGGTCAGTTTCAGAGCGATGGTCCTTTGCGGCAGAGTTACCAGTTGTAACAGTCACTAAAAAGTTTGTTAAAAACTAAAGTCACTAAAAAGTCTTGAGGCAAAACACACTTAATTCAGTACAGTTCTATGCTTGAAAAGACAGGCTTTCTGGCCTAAATATATAAAAATAAAGAGATACAGTTAGAAAAAAAGAGTGTGTATTTTTGATAAATCTCTGCATAAAACCTTACAAAACATAGACTATTTTTAAGTCATATTAATGCAATACTTATGAATTTGTAACAGTGTGTTAAGACTAAACCCACCTCGTAAAGGCTGCTCTTTAACTTGGCTAGATGTTAGATATTTAGACATCAAAATGGTGCTACATTACAGCCACCTTAAAGGTGAATAATCATATAGGTGTGAATTCTGTGGCTTCTAGACACAACTCAGCAAATGAAAAACACTTTTTGGATTAAAAATGTTATGTTTATAGTCCTAAAACAGTTTTCAGGATAAATATGGAAATATTTGTCTGATTACTGTCAGAATTTGCAGGTGATGGTGGAAGGAGAATACTAGAGCATGACTAAAGTATGTTTTACTTGAACTTGTTTGACTATGTAAAAGTCCATAATGCATACAATCGTAAGTTTTGACCAGGACTTGTCAAACTTTTGCATGCAACTGTTTCTGATAAAAAGGCCAACGAATGTGGGTACCTTAACAGGCAGCTGGCTGTGTGCTGACTGAGATCATGTTCACTGCATGTGTTGACCATTTTTTTTTTCATCATTTGGATATCAGAAGACAGTGGAAATTTCCTCACATGGCTGTCTTACTTTGTTCATTGAAATGCAGGCTTTTCACTGGCATTAGATAACAGAGCCCAGAGAGTCGGCGCTCGGTTTGAGGGCCATGTGTGCATTAATCTGTATTGGCAAGCATATTGGCTGATCCTGTATCAGTCCCTCTGTACTGTAGACTTGCATATTGGAAATTGTGCTTAAACTTAAGCTGTAATTCTTACCACTGTTCCCCTTTCCATTTTGCCAAAATGATGACACAGTTGGAGTTGCCCACATATTTGTATGATTTAACTTTTGTGATGGTGCATCAAAAGGCTTAGGTGTCCATAAGCAAGGGAATGTTTGTGGTTTTCTCTTATGACTGCTCTCATGGAAACTCTCTAAAACTCTGACTGAGGTTGCGAGACTGTATGCAGTGACTTGATTTGAGACCCTGTTCAGTCGGCTGCATTTTTCAATTGGGTGCAATCTGTGGTCATGAAATCAAAATTTGAAGCAAAGGTCACAGTGGTAGGCCACGTTGGTATCTACCTAGCAACCAGCCTGCAGCTGAAAGTATCTGTAAACTCATCATATTACACGAGCTTTTAAATGGCACCTCTTATTTATGAGTTTAAACCAAAGATTAGTGGTGCAGTATTGTAGGATTTAGTTCTAACCTTAATCTAATACACATGGGAGTAATATGTGCTGGCTCTGCTCAGTGTTTAGTGAGCTGAGGTAGGTGTTTCTGGTTTGAATTGGCACAAAAACCTGCATAACCAGTGGCACTGCAGGAGCAAAATGACCTATACCAGATGTAGGCTGTTGAATGGGTATTGTCTCTATTGCAGGCTGTAGCATGGTTACTAAGGCCCAATGTCAAATGTATGGTGGAATCATTTTTATTGTGTTTTTGTACTAAAGATTAATGCCACAGTATCATAGCTGCCATATGCAGTTGCCACCTGTCTTGTATCTCCACTCACTGGCCATTTTATCAGAAGCACCTACCATATAGATGCACTGGGTATGCAAGTCAGCTAGTAGGGTTACAAAGCGCACCTACAGTGCTGTGAAAAAGTATTTACCTCTAATTTTCTCTGTTACTACGTATTTGTCACAGTACATGCTTTGAGCTCTTTAAATAAAAAGTAAAATTAGATTAAGAGAACCTTGTCAAACACAAAGCATATTTTTAAAGGAGCAAAGAAATCCAACTGTAAACTTTAATAAATGAACAATGATGTTAGTCTTTCACAAAGTTGAGGAGAAATTTGAGCCCACTCTTCTTTGCAGAACTGCTTTAATTCAAATATTAATGTTTTCAAGCATGAACTGCTTGTTTGAGGTCCTGCCACTCAAAAACATTAATTTTGTTTCTCTTCAGCTGTTCACACTTTTCTGTTTTGGATGATTGTCTTGCAAGCCAATTATTCCACCACTACCACCGCCATGTTTCAGTGCTGGTATGAAGTTCCTGTTGTGAAGTGCTGCACTTCTGTGTTGGGATCTGTGTTGTCTGAAAAAGTATTACACTTTGTGTTTTCTGCCTTGCTACTCTTTTATATTTTAAGTCCACTTTTCACAAACACTGACCATAGCTGGGGCTGTATAGATCTACATTTCTTTGGATGTTTTCTTTAAATCTTTGGTGACTTCCTGGATGATTAGTCTCTGTACCCTTGGTCAAATTGTGGCAGGCTCTTCACTTTTAGGAAGATTCACTGATATTCCTAGGGTTTTCAGTTTGTAGACAATGGCTCTCACTGTGGTTTGGGTATGTGCTAGAACCTTAGAAATTCACCTTAGGTTTTGTAACCCTTTTCAGACTGACATATTTCACGTATTTTACATTTTCTTTTGGTCATGGCCTAGCGTGGCTGTAAGAACTGTGTGGCGACTGCATACTTCTAATGCTAAACTTCAATATGTGTGAGGTTTATGTTCAACAGGGCTTTCAAGGCTGACTCAGTTAAATTTGGTTCGTTTGTTGCTTGAGTAATGAGGCAGCAGTCACATTTTCACATGGATGATCATGTTGAACATCTTTACAGTTTGTTTACAGATCTAAAAGCTTGCACTGTGACAAATATGTAATAACTTAAACAAAATGAGAAGTACTTTTTCAAGGCACTGTTTATGGTAGATAGTGCCTGATGAAATGATGAAATGTGAGTACACACAAGATGTGTACCTAATAAATGGGCAACTCTGTGTGTTTGATTCAAAATTGCTGATGGCAGTATATTTCTGAAACACAAGTTAAGATCTTCCCGAACCAAATTCCTTAAATCTCTTTTATAGCATAAGTTGCTATGTTATGTGACTAAATACAACAATGATACGGGGATAAGAGCAAGAACCAGTGTGTGACATAAAGCCGCTACTGCACAGCTTCTTTTCATGTGTAATTTAAGCTGAGACTACTTAAGCAACCATTTGGCCACAAGAAGAAGTTGTTGAGCAACAAACTGGTCACAAATACATTGAAAATGGTCAGTTCAGTATGTAGTTCATCATAACCACAGTAACAAGGCTTTTTTTAGCCTCAACTGGGAGACAGACAACAAAGAAAATCTCACACAAAGGCACTGACTTGACCTTCTAATGATCTTCTAATCTTACCAAAGTAATTGTGCAAAGGATGTGTGAACATGTTTCTCTCAGAAAATGAACAGAACTTTTGCATATGACAATATGTACATAGTCATATATTTATAGTGCACACTCATGATCTTACCGCTAATTTTGCATTGGCTATGATGCTGTTTAGTCTGTTTCTGATTGGGGCTTTAAGATTGTTTTTGTTGTTAGAGGGCATTTCCTAATGATTCACTATCATTTTGAGGAAGTATCAGTAATACACCACACCACAAACCATAACCTCTTTTTCAGGCCTAAGTGCTGTTTGTGTTATCACGAATAACATCAGAGTTATGGCTGTAATTTGGTCACAGGCACAAGCGTAATTGTTCTGTTGCTGTTTTACAACAGTTCTGGAAAATAAATAAATGAAAAAGTAAAGCAAAGAAGCCCTGAATATTGTATAAAATGTGCTTTACTATTGGCAGATCCTTCTGCCATAAAAGTAGCATCCTTTTTTGTTATGGGTACCACAGAAACGTTGGTTTTGTATTATAGATTAGCTGCATGTTTGACTTTGTCTCTCTTCGATTTCTCATGAAATAAACATCCAAAAATGATCAGACCTACATTTTCTCACTGCTGAAAGACAGAGAATAAAACACAACCAATATATACCCATATATTTCAAAGATTTCCAGCATTAAGGTTTGCTGAATATAATGTTTCAGAAACGCAGGCCACAGGCGCTTTAGTCATTAAAGATGATCTAAAAAGTGCATAATATATTTCTCATGTATTTAGATCAAAGAAGGCCAAATCACTTGTAGAGCAGAGAGTGGCTTCCTGTAACTAGGATTTGTAGTAGGCGTAAAGGAAATCAATCTCTTTACTACAAATGATTTGATGTGATTTTGCCTTCTTTTAGTTAAACACATGGGAAATAAAACTTGTGCACTTTTTAGACAGTTCCTTATTCACTAATTCACTGATGATCTGCTTTTCTGAATCATTCAATCATCTTCAGCGAAGTGTAACAGTGGACATATATACTCACCTAGCACTGCATTCGGAACACTATCCCAAAACTGGGTAGGACCTCGCTCTGCTCTCAGAGCAGCCTCAGTTGTTCATGGCATGAATTCCACAGGATGTTGATTGATATGCTGGGTGCTGGTGTTATCCTAGATACAGATCAGAGACTGTCTTTAGTGAACATTTTAGACCCTAAGCTGACCCAGGAACAGAGCTCCACTTCTGAGAAGCTTTCAGAATAGTCTGGATCTTGTTATTCAGTACCAGGTCTTAAGAGTCCAAAATTAACCTACTCATCACTGTGGATGGATGTCTGTAACCTGTCCATTTGTTTACTTAATCAGGTATTCAAACCAGGTGTATTTGAGAATAAAAAAAAGTAAATAAAAAATTTGACTGATCGTGTGACGTAGAACTGCAGACAAGCAGCTGATGTCTTGGTGCTGAGTTATTATTCTGTACACTTTTAAAAAAGATAGTTCTCAAAGGGTTCTTTAGTAAAGAAAATGGTTCTAAATAGAACCATGAACACTCAAATAGCCATTTTGATTAAAAGGTTATTTGCATCAGGAAAGGGTTTTTCAAATGAATGGAGAACGTGCTGTAGATGGCTCTATATAGAACCTTTTCAAAAAGGGTTCTATTTAGCACCCAAAAGGGTTTGTCTTTGATAGTTACGATGTCAAGCTTGTAACAAAGAAGAATCCTTTTCAAAAAGGTTCTGTATAGAACCATTTGCAGCACATTCTCCATTAATCTGAAGAACAACTTCACCATGTTCACCATGCAAAGAACCACTGTCTTCACTAAAGAACCCTTGAAGAACCTTGAAGAAGAGTGTAGTTAATTACATAACATTGACCAAAAACGCAAAGATAATCATTAATTTAATCTGAATGATAATAGATAGATCACCTCTTATACTAGCTTTGCAATAAATAAATAAATGTAAATCCTTTTTTTTCACTTTAAACTATTTGTAGTTGGGATATTGAGATACTATTCGTTCAAAATAATACAGATAATTGAATTTCCGAAAATATTTAAACTGCCCATCTTTACTGATCACAGATTATTTGAGATCTATCTTTGCACACATTGAGTTGAAAATCTGAATCAGAAGATAACTAGCGTGCTTTTTGTAGATCTCTCTTCTAATTTCTGCTTCTCATGCTCGACAGCCAAGTCACTGCAGGAGTTTGCTGGCGTTCTGCAGAACCTCGAGGACGAGAGGACACGGATGGTGAGTAAACCTGGAACCCTTCATGTGCCTCAGCCTCTACCCTGATAGTCCATGAAAACTGAAAGCAGTTGTATCTTATGTTTCTCCAGATTGAGAATGCGAACGACGTTCTGATCACACCACTGGAGCGGTTCAGGAAGGAGCAGATCGGAGCCGCCAAGGTGAGAAAGAGTGCAGCGCTGGCAGTATCTTTCTCCTGGTTTAAACTGCTCTCGGCTGTACAAAAACTCCCTTGATCTTGTTTTTTTGCATATAGCCTGAAGGTCAAGCATAAGATGAAGTGTCCTTTTTCATGCCTGAAACTTGATTAAGGTAATAGTTTCCCCTTAGCCAAAAAGTAGTCAGTCAGCTAAGACATGTTTAGTGTCTTTAGTTATGAGCCATAACTGAATGAACTATAACATTAGCTATGAAGCTAATGTAGCTAACAAGTAATGAAGGATTGTACCCCCTCTAATTAGCATAATGCAGACTGTATGCCTTGAATCATCAAGCACTTGTTGTTTAACTTTAAAATGCCCCAAATCATTTCTTGCCACCTTTATATTTAATCTCATAGTGGATTCATTTCTGGCTGCAGTATGTAAGTGTTGCACATCTGTGGAATCTGCAGAATCTAAACTAGATGTAGGGATCATTTACACATCTCTAGGATGTATAGCACACTTTTTTAATGACCTAAATAAAACAAACACAAAAATGGAAACTATTTTTTAATATATTTCTTTAATTATAAACTCTTCAAAGAGTGAAATCTCTTGAAACATAACGTATAAATGGCAGCATATTATGAAGCCTGTACATGCTATTTCCACGTAAAAAAATAAGGGCTTATAGGGGGCACTAGAAGTTTCATTCGTCACTCTGCAGTCTGCAGGATACTCTGCTGCTGCAGTCATTCTTATTGGCTGCTGAAACAAAAGCAATGACACTGATGAAGTGAAACGTAAGCTTGTGTAAATAAGTGTCAAACCAAACCCCAGTGAAAATGTATGAGATTTAACATGTCTGTGTGGCCTAGCTTTGAAAGTTAGCCTCAAACTTATAGAGAAGTCATTTAGCACTCATCTTTTCCGCTGACGTCTCAAGAATCTGACTCATTTTGCCAAACCTTTTTGTTTTTATTAAAAACATTTGAACTTATGGCAATCATTTTAAGAAAAAGTATGCAATGAGGTTGCCGGCATAACCACAGGGTTCAGAGGGTTAAATAACAGCGTATTATACAATGTCAGAAATCACACAGGCAAGTCTGTTTAGGTTTTTGTATGTATTTTCCACTTATTAGCTTAATTAACCTTGTAGTACAAAACTAAAAAAGCAAACTATAGACACCAAATATGTCTTTGCTGATCTAAATTTGGAAAAAAGAGAAAACAAGTTAACACTTAAGACTGCATGACACCTACATAAGCCCTTATGACATTTGACATGGAACTACATAAAAACACTACTTTCAGCAGACGCCATTTGTCATAAAGATTTGAAGTCCGGTTGACACAACCACTCTCAGGTGACAATGTCTTTTTCTGAGATTAGGTTGTCATGACACATTCTTGGCTGAAATGTCATAGCATGTTATGACAGCTGACTTTGTAGCTCAGTGTTGTAGTGACATAATCGCACCATGCCACCAAGCTGGGAGTGAAAACTAGTACGTTCTTCCTCTGAGACACCATATCAGCACCATTGGGCGCTTGAAGGAGAACACTAACTGCCGATTCTTTTACATCAGCTAACAGACACCCACACTGGCTAGAGAGATGAGGTGGAGAGAGGGAGTACAGTCCTCTCCACCCAGAGAGAGATCATGATCTCTTAATGATGTTTACACAGTTGTGCAGCTCAGGAGCCCTATCTGTCTTACTTAGCATAAATTCGGTAACATTTACATGAAAAACTGCTATAAAATGCATACATTTTTGACACTGACAGTCTTTACCATGATGGTAGCATCACTTGGGATCAAAGTTACTATCTGATGACGGCCAATGCTTAGACGGTCGCACCACTCGGGAACCCATAAATGCTTTTTCACGATTCATGATATGCATCACGATATTTTCACATACAAACAAAACATGCTAGTAGTGTAATATTAACCTGTGTTCTTTGATGTGTCAACCTTTCAGATTCTTTATGGAAATAATGGATGTTTATTACAATGTTTCTAGTCTTAAACTGTCCCAATATGGTTTGCAATGTACTGCAGGCATCAATTACAGAATGAGCATGATATTTATAAACACTATGAAGTTGACAAGATAAAACATTACATATCTTGTGTTTGTACTGTTTTTATTCAAGTACATGTCAATGTAGATTCATAAATCACTGCTTTCTGTTTTTATATGCATTTCACATACTATTCCACCTGTTTTGGAATTGGGTTTGTACATCAAGTAGACTACTAATGTACTTAAGTTTGCATCTTTTTTGCAAGGGATGCAATTTTACCCTAGAAAGTGTCACTAGGCATAGGTATTATGTCAGCTTGACCTTAAAGCCTATTTAAGTAAGCCTTTACAAATTTTATGTAGTCTGTGTGTCAGTTGTTATGAAGTGCTACCCAAAATAGTGTCATAGATTTTTGGACAAACTAACCTTTAAACTGACTGAATCCTGTAGAAACCAAAGCTTCAGTTTCAGCTCAGTTTCCATCTGAAATCAAGGTGACCAGACCAGTCAGATTTTTCACCCAAGTATTATTGTAATCAGTTATGTCTACGTGCAGAATTAGCAAAAATTTACATTAATATGATATTGATCAATTCTGGGTTTACATCACTAAAGGCTCAGGTAATCTCTGCTCTCTCCATTACTTATTAAACAATACTGCCATCTGTTGGTGCAGTACTTTCTGTGCTAAATAAGGTTTGAATGTGCCTTTTGCATTAGGCACTTTTGCTTTGAACCTACAGGTTTGCCCTACTGTTCAGAAGTCACAGAAAACCCGGTTCTAAGGTTCTAAGGCCTCATGCTAAGCCTGAGAGATTTATGAATGGAAATTAGTTCATGTTTGTCCAGAGACGCTCTTGGAAACGTGAGAAGGAGGGCAAAATGACATCATTGCTTTAGCACGTGTTGAGTCCCTTGGCTCCACTGCTCTCAGTTATTCAGTCTGTTTCTCAGACACACCCTTATTCCCTCAGGTCAGTTTAGAGCTCTTAGAGTGGACAGGCCTCTGCTTGCTGGAGACTTGCAGGTGGCTGAAGTCAAAAGACTAATGCTCTAAAGATCGATGGGAGAATAGGAAATGACCAAAGGAAAACAATTAGCGTTGTTCTAAATCCCTTCTACTAGTCCTCTGAAGATAGCTTTGTGGAGACAAGGAGGGTGAAGTATGTTTCATTACGCAAGTGAAGGTTACTGTCAAGGAGCTACTTGAGACCCAGTGTTGAATAAAGTGCATAATAGTCATGTTTGAGTAAAAGTAAAGATCCCTTTATGGAAAATGATTTAAGTAACCCATACTGAATTTTAAAGCAACTGATTATGACTAAAGTGAAAGTAAGTTGTGGTGATGCAGTTATCAGGAATGTTTATCACCAATTCTGGTTCCAGTTTCTTTACGGCCAAATTAAGGATGATTTTTTTTTTTTGGCTGATTTTTATGAGCCTATTTTTAATCTGAAGCTCACGCAGTGTGGGGTAAATGAACAATGAAACACATTGATATCCAGATGTTTTCATCTAGATTTGCAATATAAACACCATTATTTGATCTTTTAATGGGCCAAGCTGGCATTTAAAATTTTTAATTTTAAAATCAGTTACTTATTTAATGATAAATTGGTCAATTGCAGATGGAAAAAAGCAAAAAACGTGTTGGCTAAATCTGATCTTGACCAATTCTGTGAGCATCCCTAGTAAATGGTATAAATAATGAAAATTATGTATAAAAAGTGTATCCAAATTTTCTTACAACTGGTTAAAAAAAATCTCATATCCAGGCACTTCTGGTTAGCTCGTCATAACTGTGGTCACCTAGCTGATTAAGGAGTCTATGTTTAGCTGTTTGTGTTGTTTTCTGCTGTGTGCAATTAGCAAAAATAGACAAAATGCATTTCTTAGGGAAATATGTTGGAGTAAAAAGTATCTGTTTGCTTTTCAAAATGTAGTGAAGTAAAAGTGAACAACTGAAACATTTATATGTTTACATTTATATGTAAACATAGTTACAGAAGTTTGCGGTAGCTGCATAATTACAGTACCTTCCAGAGAATTTTTGCAGTGAGTGCTGGTAACTATTTCCTGCTGGAAGGCGAAGGCCTACTGACAGAAGTGCATAGAGTAGCCTAACCCCATGCCTAAATCAAATCTTGTTACAGTGGTAGTACAAAACAACTTGAGAAGGAGTGAAAAAATACAAGGACAAAAAACTCCTGTGAGTTCTCTATAGATGTGCAGAGGTACATCCAGGATCTGTCAGCATAGGAATTTGAGTTATTAGGTGCCATTCTTCTCCTCACGGTCTAAAAGAATAAGTGTACAAATGTCCTGACCAACAGAACGGAATATGGCTAAACACAAAAAAGGAATTAGAATGAGTCCTCGCAAATATCCTTGAGTAAGTGTACCATATGAAAATACTCAAACCCTTTAAAATAGCATTGAGGGAAATGAAACAGAGTACATGGAGCTAGTTACAACCTGTTGTGTGCTGGTGAGTACTATGTGGAACCTGAACAGTTAAAGAACTGAAAGGGAAATGTTTGTGGTAGCTGATACCTTCTAACAGAATTCAGTGTTTTTTTGATCATTTTTCTGAATCTCAGGCCAGAAGCTCACAGCCAGCCAGTACTGATTTTTGGCCTTGTCCCTTACATACAGAGATTTCTCTGGATTCTCTGAATCTTTTAATGATATATTGTACTGTAGAAGATGAAATCCTGAACGTCTTTTACGTTGAGAAACATTATTCTTTAATTGTTTGACCATGCAGTCTTTCACAGAGTGGTGAACCCCGTCCCCAAACTTCTGAAAGATTCAGCCTCTCTGGGAGGCTCTTTTACTGACCTGTTGCCAGTTAACCTACTTAGTTGTGAGATGTTCCACCAGGAGTTTTTTAGCATTACACGAAAGACTTTTGTTGCCCCATCCCAACTTTTTTGAAATGTGTTTCTGGCATCAAATTCGAAATGGGCAAAATAATACAGTTTCTCAGTTTCAACATTTGATATGTTGTCTTTGTACTATTTTCAATTTAATATAGGGTTTCGATGATTTACACATTATTGCATTCTAGATTCTTTAGATTTTGCACACTGTCCCTACTTTGTTTTGGAAACGGGGTTGTATTTGTGTTGTAAATATCATGACCACTGGTTCCTGTCACCACCACTGTAAAGAATTCTGACTCTTTTCTCTATAATGCATCATTTCACATCAGATCACTCTGAATGGCTTTGTTTGCATCTCAAAGACTGAATTATGTAGAAATGTTAAAAATTCCTCTTTAAAAGGAAACTTTTATCTTGCCTGTCATGCCAGTGCCTCTGGACTATTTAATAACATATCCCACCCATATTACAATATGACTGGATTTTCTTGAGGCTGTTTTCTCATGGCTTGCTCGTGTTCTATCTGTTAAAGGAGGCGAAGAAGAAATACGACAAGGAGACTGAGAAATACTGTGGCGTACTGGAGAAGCACCTCAGCCTGTCAGCGAAGAAGAAGGAGGCACACCTTCATGAAGTAATGCACTGCTGTTTCAGCCCTCATTGTACATTTTCAACTGGACTTTCGACCTTTATTTGTGCTTTTCTCTCTCTATGTGTGTATGAGTGTATGTCAAAGAAATAACTTGACCAGACTTACTAATGTGGCTAACAATCTATTTAGAGCTTTAATCGGGCCCAAAATTTCGGTCCAAACCTGGGAACTTTCTGAGCCCAGACCAACCTAAAACACTTCATCAAGACTTTTAGTCTGAAACTGACTCAAGCTCAAGCTTTGAATCTGCTGTTGGTCAATGCATCATTCTCACTGAATCCAATGGCAGGAGGTGTGTTTTTGCAGATACAAAAGCCTTATCTAGCCATACCATTTTCAAGTGTGGGCCTTGTGGGCCTCAGTGCTACATTCAACATGAGCATGAGTGGATGACTGCGATGCCAGATTATAGTGTGTTTGAATGTACTAAAAGTAGGGATATAGAAGAGAGGAAAAGTGAACCACGAGAAAATGCAGGGTAAACATTTTATCCAAACCCTGAGCACAAGAAATAATCAGGAAATCATGTCCTAGTGTGGCGTAAACAGTCACGTCCAGTCAGGTTACACGCGCTAGAATGTTCCAACTAGTAGCCAACAACTGATTTGACTTCATTTGCATGATGCTATTGGATGGCTGACTATTGTGTTTTTGGCTGAAAAAATGTCTGCATCCCTCTCCAGGCAGACAGTCAGGTGGATAACGTGAGGCAGCATTTCTACGAGGTGTCACTGGAATACGTGTTTAAAGTACAGGAGGTCCAGGAGAGGAAGATGTTTGAGTTTGTGGAGCCGGTAATACAGTATTCTATACTTTGTGAAAAATTGATTTCACTTTGATTAACAGACATTATTTATAAGTTATTAAATATTAATAAACATAAAAGTATCAGTGTCGCATGTTCCCATCTTATTGGGAAGTCCTTCACACGCTGACTGATATTACTCTGTTTTTGGTTGCAGCTGCTGGCTTTTCTGCAGGGACTGTTCACATATTATCACCATGGGTACGAGCTGGCCAAAGACTTTAACCACTTCAAGACTGATCTCACCATCAGCATCCAGAATGTAAGATTGATTCTGTTAATCCGTCAGAGTTTAGAGCGACAGCTTGCCGAAAAATCGAATTTTATACAGTTTTGCCCTTGCCTATGTGTAGTCAATCAGCCAACACGTTTGGTATCTGTAGTTTACTTCTTTAGTTTTGCAATAAGGCTACAAGGCTAATGTAGCTACTATGTACTTAAGGCTTACAACCCACCAATTAGAATTGTGCTAGCTGCATGCCTGAATCACCACACACGTCCCTCTAGCTTTGTGAAGTTGTCAAATATACTTGCTTACTTTTTGAAACTGTATGACACACTGTAAGCTATTAAAAATGGGCAAAAGTACAAATAAACTTTAGACTACAATATGGCTGCTACTGCTGTTTTAAACTATGCAGCATGCTTTTGTACATTTATTTTGCTGATCTATGGCTTTAACATACAATATATACTTTGATTTAGAATACATTGCTCATAACCTAAACACACTGCTAAAAATGCAATAAGTACATTTAAAGGATGGTCGGCTTTCAGATATTAAAGAAATATGATTTGTTGATCATTAAAGAAATTTCAAAAAGAAGATTTCACAACCATAACTCAGACTGCTTGATCAAGACCGTGTAAGTGTTTCAGACCACACAGTGATTGACAGTGCTGTAGCTTTGACGACATAAATAACCCGACAGCAGTGGGCTTTTTTTCTTATTTGGAATCTGTGTGATATATAGGAGGTTAAATTCCAAGATTGTTGGCAACATGAGCATTTGTTTAGGCTAGTTTATGCTAACCAACAACTTGTGCAGAAAGAACTGCCCAGCAGCCCAGGCACTAAAGAGGCTAGAAGACTTCGGTTTGTGTGGAGCTGAGTTGTAGCAGCACTACAAAAACGTATATTTTAAAGAGAAATGATCTTAAATTTATTTGAGATATCTAATATTTCTTATTTTGAGATTGTACCAAGAATGTCTTTAGATTATTCAGCCTAGTTCTAGAGAATATTTAACCTGTTTTAAATAAATTTATCTAGTAAAGTTGTCTTTTTCTGTTGGCAGATTTACTTTACTTTTTAAAACAACACAATTAAAGACAATTTCACAAGAAATAACTAAAGCAAGTAAAGAACATCTAGAAATACATTAAATAATATTATAATGTTTTCACAGCTAAATGAGAAATATTACATATATTGGCTAGATTTAAGAAGTTTTCGCTCGCCAGATTTTTTGCTTTTGTTTTTTTTTTTGTTTATTTTTTTTTGCTTTTACTGTGAGGAGGCAGCTGGCAAAATATCTGCCCAAAAATGTCAGAACGTCCAGTGAGATGACCAGTAGTTTTCTTTATTTGACAGTTTATAGTTCAATAGTTCATTCACACAGGAGCCTGTAGCTAAAAACAAACAGGTTGATAGCAAAGGTTCACAAGTATTAGTATTAAAGGCAAAGTATTTCACCATACATATGAATATGCCTCTATATCTAGCTCTACTCTGCTTTCTATTCTGTTTTCTGTTCTCTTTCTTCCTTTATCATTCTCTTTTTTTGCTACAGCAATGCAGAGATCAGATTTCAAAGCAGTGTTCACTGTGCGTGCTGCATCACAAGCTTTCTCTTGGCAGTAACCGCAAGCATTTCCAGAGCATCAGCTAAAACACATCTCTGAGCACCTTGCAGTACAGCTTAGACACAGCTGATTCCAGGACCTTTCAAGTCTTTATGAATGCAAACACAGTAAAAGCTGTAATAGCAGACAGAAAGCATGTTTCTGTGTGTTTCACCAGACGCGGAACCGGTTTGAGAGCACACGTTCGGAGGTGGAGAGTCTGATGAAGAAGATGAAGGAGAATCCGCACGAGCACAAGAGCATCAGTCCTCACACCATGGAGGGGTACCTGTTCATCCTGGAAAAACGTGAGTCATTGTGTAAACAAGTACTTGTTACTTAAACTACCTAGCTGACTGGGAACATAATAGAAATTTGCAAATTGATGTTGTGTTGCTTGAGGCTGAACTGAAAAAAAATCCCAATGTGTATCATATATCATTAGAAAGTACGGTAGATTTTTCAAACATTGCCAAGAGCTATCTAGTGCAACTAGTAGGGGCCTTTTTGACTGACATGCAAAACAACCAACCACAAACCTTTGATGTTTGGGGCAGGCTGTTATCAAAACTGGGAAACAAAGTGTATGATCACTTGCACCTGCCAGAAAATACTCTGTCAGCTTCAAACAAAAGTTTAAAAGCTTTTAAAGACAGGATGGTGTTAACTTCACTAACTTTTTCAGTGTACCGACTATATCTTGCTGTGAAAGACTCTTTGTTGTCACTCTTTGCAGTCAGAGCAGCTAACAGCTTGTTGCTAGTGACTAGAATTTTTAATGCAGACTGTTGTTGGCTTAGTTTTCAAGCAGCTGCATAATTTTCGAGTTACTGTTAAGTTAATAAATATTCATGTATTCATGTCTTTCAGGTTCTTTTGTGTCTACGTGGGTGAAGTACTACTGCACTTACCAGCGGGAGCCCAAACGGCTCACCATGGTTCTGTTTGACCAGAAATCTGGAGGCAAAATTGTGAGTCAAACTGTGTCTTTTTCTTTCCTTTCTACTTTCTCAGCATTCTTTCCTGTCCTTCCTATTGTCTGTTCTGTCCCCTCTCGCCTTCGCCTTCCATCCATATATACTGCCTGTCGAATGTTTGGAGGACACCTTGCTTTCAGTAACACTTGGATAGCCCACTGTAGATAGCCCACTCTTTGTTGATGCTTATCATGCGTCAAACATGATTCAACTGATTATCTATTACATTTGCCTTAATTTTCAATAACCCTATACCCTGTCCCTTAACCTTAACCTCAACCCAAAATCTAATCCAAACCCTAATCTTGGTCCTCACCCTAAGACTAGTTTTAAAATAAAACTCTGAGAATCAACAGTGTTATCAGACAGTTTGTTAACAGTTTGAACATCTGTAGATAAACTACGGGGGGCTTCACAAATAAAGTGGAACCTTGCTTTTCTCTGAAATGTTAATTTTCTCACTGTTACTTTTAAACATAAATCAGCTATTTATTAATACTTTGGATATATTAATATATATACTCAGCTTCATGTTTATCAAAAATAGATATTACTCCATAATTTTAAGTCCGAGTCACCAAAGTCTTCTAAGTTCTGTTAACTAGTTTCTTTCTATTATATTGTGGCACTCATTATCATTGGCTAATGGCACCAGGTTATTCGCTTTTTGGGTGTGCCCACTCTCCCCTGCACTGCCCTGCACTCGCAGGTGTGAGAAAACTTTAATAAAGGGTGTTCCTGGTTTAAACATCAGTAACAGTAAGTAAAAAGTCACATAATGTTTATTTAAAATAAATAAACTACATCATTCTCTGTGCTTTGTTGTGAATACTATCACTGTGCAGTGTAGTAGTATCAGCTCACATTACTTGAAATGGATTGTTTGATACGGTAATGAATAAGACAAGTCACTCATTTCTGACTTTTACCTTTCTGTTCAGATACTGTTTGGGAGCTGGTGATCTCCTCCACCCTCTCTCCCTCTCTCATCTCCTTTACCCTCTCTCCCTCTCTCATCTCCTCCACACTCTCTCATCTCCTCCACCCTCTCTCATCTCCTCCACCCTCTCTCACTCTCTCATCTCCTCCACCCTCTCTCCCTCTCCCTCATCTTCTCTCTCCCTCTCTCTCTCTTCCCCCAGTACTGTACCGTGACCTTGCTGTAAGTGCAGGTGAGATTGAACATGCTGGCACAGGCTGTTGTGCGTGTTCTCTCCAGCTGGCAGTAGCACAGCTCTTGTCCTGGCATGCGGAGTTGGGTGTTGCTATGCTATGTTGGCATGGATGTCTGGCACTGTGCCCTCTCCCCATTCCCCAGAGCTGCTATGAGGGGTCATTAACGCCACACACAACACCCAATCTGGCTGCCTTCCTGCACCACTGCACACCAAGAAACAGACTCCAGCCACAGCTTCATAGTAAAGCCAGTGGCATGGAGAGTTTAGAAGTTTAATAACTCAAAAATCTGCAGTTTGTAATATTATCAAAAACACGCACTCATCAGATGACTGCATGATTCAATCGAAGTGATGGGAGTAAAAGAACACACTGCCATAGGTCAAAGCAAGAAAAATGCATAACTGTTATTGACGCACAAGTGTTTTGTTTGGAATATAGAAACATATGCAAATAATTATATTGATAAAATCATGAACTTGGAATTTTAAAAAATGGGAAGATGACCAGTGTCCAAATTGTACAATGGCAGTGTGTTCATTTACTCCCACTGTACGCATCGCAGATTGCAGATCTATTATTACAGATTATATTTTGTAATTTTAAGTATAAAACCTATCCCATCTAAACTGAATTTATTTATAAAAAAAGAATTATATGTTGCTTCAGATTCATTTTTCTTAATGTTGGTGTGTTTAAATATCTATTATAGATACACGCTTTCAGAAGCCCATCTTCGCCGTGTGATGTGTTTAAAAAAGAAGTATAACCTCAAAAATCTTACCTCGAAAATCTAATTTTACAGAAAGATGAAAAATACTGTAGTATACTGTAGTCGGGCAAAAAATAATAATAAAAAAAAAATTGTTGCCATATGGCAACACCATGATTTCTCACATGGAAACAAGAATAGAAAGTCAGAAGTGCAAAGTGTAAACTTTAGTGTATACCACATTTTTGTTTGTAAGCAGAAGAGGAGATATTTTATTGTGACTTTTATTTGATAAGAAATCTTTATGGAAAGAAAAAATGTACTTTAAATTTTTTGCTATGTTTTTGTCATTTCTTGGTATTTAAATAAACAGAAAAAGTCAGATGTGCAGACTTCAAGCTGTCGTAATGTGAACTTAATGTAAATGTAATACAGTATGTAACTGTCATTAAATACGCAGTTACCTAATTACATCTAAATAGCATAGCAAAACGATACATATAAAAAAAGTAATATATTAAAAAGTACAGTAATAAGGATATGTGTATCATTTACAAAACTGGAAATCAGCATTTCTAAAAGTCTTTTTTGTGTTTAAATACCTTTTTAGTGTGATAGCTGTACATTTTTTTGGTATCAGGAAAGCTGCAGTTGCAGTGTTGCAGTGCTGTCTGTTTTATCTCCACATAGTCGTCTTTGTGGAGAGATTGAATTGTTTTTGCAGCAGGGTGTTCTCGCCTATCACTCGCAGAACTGGTCTAATTTCACATTTCTGTCTCTTTAGCGCCAGTTGCTGGACATCACTCCCTTAGATTTTAATCATAATTAAAACTGTCTACAATGCCAGAACTGAACATGTTCTGTGGTGAGTAGAGCTGTTAACATGCTAGCTAAGCTAAGTCAGCAGAGCATTCATTTGACATCTATTGAATGATGCCTTGAAAAACGAGCACTGTGTTTCACCTATTTGGTGACCATGTAAGTGAACTGAACTTGAAATTATTTTAAAATAACGCAGGATAAGATGGCAAAAACGATGATATTAAAAAAGGCACAGCGCCCAACCCTCCCGCTCGCACACAGAGCTGAAGAGTGTGGATTAGAGTGTGCCTCTTGAGCAGGCCAGGTCTAAAGAGGAGGAGAGTGAGAGGTGAAGTGAGCTGTGAAGAGGAGAGGAGTAGTGTCCAGACACTTTCAGAGTGCAGCAGCGATGTGCTAATGGGCCTCAGCCTATGTGTGTGTCTGCGTGTATGTGGTGGCATGTGGCAGCAGAGAGCGGTGAAGCGCCAGTACTGAAATAGCCCGCCTCATTTTTATTTCCACCCTAATGTCCACTTCAATTTTCCACGCAATCATATCCTAATTAAAACACTCCATTTATGTTTGAGCTGTGTTATTAATTTATGGTTAAAACAGCTAGCGATTATTTAATTTCCTCCACTTCATCCTTAATCAGCTTCATTGAGGAGCTGAGCTCCCCCTAGGATTACTGCAAAGGAAAAGTACTGCAAACGGAATGCTAGCCATGTTGGTTTGAAGAGAACTGCAGCTGTTTGAAGTTTCATTTCAAGCATGTTTTAACCCTTCTGGTACCGCGGTGGTGGATGAATAATTCTGTCCCTGTAAAGAAAAATCCCTTCACAACAGTTGGCCAGTTCAAGAACACTGTCCAGGAGGTAGGCGCTTAAGTCAATAATCTAAAGAAGTAGAGTAAATACAGAGGGTTTACTGAAGCATGCTTTCGTTTACTGAAGGCAAAACTGAAGGTACAACACCCCAAGAGCAAGCAGCAGCTAAAGAAAGCTGCAGTAAAGGCCTGGCAGAGGATCATAAGGGAAGAAACCCAGCATCTGCTGATGTCTATGGTTTTCATACTTAAGGCTGTCATTAACAAAAGATTTGCGACCAAGACCAGTTTATGATTATGCTAGTTTGTTCAATTACTTTTGGGTTGTGTATGAAATTGGTTGTAATTGCTACACTGTTAACTTGATTTGGATGTAAATACCCTCCAGTTAAAGCTGAATTGTTTTTTTTAACTACAGTATTCTGGGGTGGACAGCTACATTGACAATAACTTTGTCAACTTCCAAATATTTATGGATGTGACTGTGTAAAAGAAGGGATATTTTATTAGGATTTGAATTTGGTTCACTTTATTATATAAGTACATAATTTCCATGAATGTAAGTCTCTGATTTGCTGCTCATTTAGCTTCTGTAGAGGTGACGTGTTAAAACCCTTAAACTCTATGGACTATGGACTCTATGGACTGGTCAAATAACATGTGTTTGTTGATTTTCAAAGTGAAAATAAGTACACATCCTTTACAGAGAGCACATTCCTGCACATTCTAATGCACAAGTACTGAATTTAACATACTGGGGGCAAAAATAAATAATAAAATGTGGCCTGTGCAAACATTATGGCATATTTAAGATTTTGTCGGGGTTTTTTTGTACTTGTGTCCAAGAATTTGCAGAAACAGTTTGTTCCCCATAGAACGTAACGTATCAACATATCAACAAAACATGTAATTTGACCAAGGGTGTTGGTATGCAACTGTGCCATATGCTGGTAACTACATACTGCATATATATTTCATACTAGTTACTAGTAAATTTCACAGTAATTTACTAAGTAATTCATACCAGTTACTTAAAACATTTGTATATTTTTGCAAATTTTTTTCCCATTTCTTGACATTTAAGCAAACAAAAAGCACTGGAAGTGCCTGCTCGAACATGTCAATACACACTGTGTTGAATGTCAATGTCATTTATTATGTAACTGACTATTTAAGCAACTGTATTATTATGTAATTACCAGGTGTGTAACTATGACCTCTCAGTGATTTACTTATTTATAATTATGATGATTATCTTTAGGAAACAATTCAGTGCATTAGAATATCAGTCAATGAATATACAAACTTGAAAGAGCTAAAGGCTAAACTTGAAAGGCGTGTTATAAAAACAACATCACAGTTTTTAAATTTCAGAAAATGAACACATTTTATTGAGTATTAATATAATCAAATCTTCTTCTTCTGGTCGATGCATTACACGAGCGGTTACATTCCAGTAGTATAGGAAAATGCCAGTGATGAGCTAAAAGGGTAAAACATGTGAGTGTTAACACAGCTGTTCTTTTTCAGGGAGAGGAGGAGAGCTTCATCCTTAAATCCTGCACCAGGAGGAAAACGGACTCCATCGAGAAGAGGTTCTGCTTTGATGTGGAGGCTGTAGACCGGTGAGTGGCCGTTCCACTCAGCCTCCAGCAGGTGGAGCTGCAGGCCGATGGTTCGGGAGAGCGGCTGATGGCTGAGGGCAGAGCAAACTTGGCAGGGGTTTTAAGCAGAACTGGCAGGCACAGCCCAAATGTGCAGCTAATTGCTTTGGCTTGTCACACGGCTGTAAGTGGGAAGCCGCTCTATAGTGGGTGGAGAAGAGCAGAAAGAGCGGCTCTGTGCTGCACATTTCACTGCTTATGGTGGCAGAAGCAAAGAGTTTAAACTGCGGAGGTGATGCTTTAACCCTTTTAAACTCTGAGGACTTTCCTCAGGCTCATAACTACTGCTACTTACATAACACATGCTTTAGCACTGAATCATGTTTTTATAAAGCTTGTTTTAAGTTACTGGTGTAAGCTGTTTGATTAATCAAACCTTCATTCATTGAAATCAGGGGTGCTGCTGATGATTTTGAAAAAATCTATGGTGCCATCAAGGAGAAGCCTAGAACCAAGCTTACCCTGAAACTCTTTTGTTAAAACATGGAACTTTTTTTACTGCATTAATGTTTGTATTTTGTCTAATAATGTGTTTTTACAATCAGAAAACACTTATTGCCTGGAAAAAATGGTTTAAAACGATATGCTTAGGTGCATAAGACTTTTGCCCAGTACTGTATAGTTGTGTGCAAAAGTTTGAGCACCCCGGTCAAATGACAAAATGTACAAAAATTACATTTGAAAGTGAAAATAAGTCAACTAATTCTCTACAGGGAACACACTTCTGCACGTTGTACTGTATATTTGCTGAATTTAACATACTGTGAAAAAAACATAAAATGTGGCCTGTGCAACACGTGTTATCTTAAATTCAGCAAACAAATAGAAATTGTGCACTGAAATTTGCTTGTAGAGGACGTTTCAACTTCTTTTCGCTTAGATAATCAACAACAGGTCTATTTTCCTGGAGGTGTTCCAAGTTTTGCATATCCTATGCTTATGCATGTGTTATATAGTCCCTATGTAGCCTTCGAATAAAGTGTTACCGTATATTGCATATTAGTTTCATAGAAGTTAAATGAATAATTCGTAGTAGTTACTGGACAAAAAGACTCAAAGGAATATCCAACATGATAATTTGACTAACAATGGGTGGAAGCTTGGAACTAGCAGTCAGCATGGTGTCATTTGCCTAATGTTGTTTGGTGGCTATTTCTTTAATTCACTTTTTGGCAACATAACATGTCATATTTGTATATTTTATATTTATTTAAAAGATTAATAACTCAGCATTAAGACTGCAGGCAAATGGATGCTGGGTGGAGCGATGTTTGGCAGCTCGTGTGGCTTACTGGGTGTATGAAGGCATCAATACTGCATGCAGTATGCATTATGCAGTGGGGTGTGTGAGTATGTGTGTGCACGCATTAGAGCTTGAAATATTTCTCCGAACCTGACAAACTTTGTTCTGGTTCAGACATTCTGCTTTCATAACCTGCCTCCCACTTTTAACAGAGTTTACCCTGCGTTTCCCCAGCTTTAGTTTTACTCCTTACTTTATTCTTCCGTTCTACTTTCATTACCTCGAAACAGTTTTAACATGGTGCGCTGGAGTCACACACTTGTTTTGGTGACAGAACTTAGCACTGAAGCCCACATTCATTAGAAAATGGAGATGCGGGAAATTAACAGTGAATTGATTCAAGAATGTACAAATTAGTGCAGTCAAAGGAAAGTATTTTTAATTGTTCAGTATATAATATGTAACGTTCCATGTAAAGCAGGGGTCGGCAATATGGCAAAAATATCATATCACAATACTTGAAGACATTTTCACAATACATAATACGTTTCACAATATTTTGACACACAGAGACCATGCACTAGCAGTGCCACATTTAAAATCAAAAACTCTGGCCGCAAAGATTTTTATTTAACATTTCACATCTTGCGCTGCACTAAATATTATTATAAAATAAAGTCATAAAAAAATGATGCTCTTTTTTAGTAAAACATGCAGTTACATTATGATATCCACAAGATGCTCAGAAAAGCGTGTTGTTTATCCTCATTTATCACGATAACGATTAAATATTGCCAAATTGCCCACCTCTAATGTAAAGATATATAGCTTTAGTATTAAACAGGTGAACACGTCTCACTGAGTCAGAGCATATTATTTTATATTGTTTTATATTTTATTGGTTTGTTGTCCAGTGACTGCTATTATTTTCACTACATGGTAACCGACGCTGTCCTGTCAGGTTTTATTTTACATATATTAGGTCATGAATGGCCAGTTCAGGTCAGAATTTTGTTGTACTCGGGTCAGTGCATGCTTAATTAATATAAATATCCTTGGACACCCTTTAACTCGGCAAAATCAATCATATATAATTAATAACACAGAAAATTATTCAAATGTTCCTCAAAATTAGTCACATTTATCTAATGAAAATCATTCATACAGGGAGTTTATTTTAAGAATAGTATGTTCTTTCAAGAACATAAAAAATATGGAACCCCCAAAAAAAAATTTTGAAATCAAACCAAAGACATTCACTTCCTTGGGGAATAAAAATCTTTCTTTTTATTAATCCTAGTCTCCAGGACATTTATCTCAAAATCTGTCCGCCTCTGCCAGAAGACTAAAACTTGGCCATACGTCGATCTTTCAGCAAGATAATGACCCAAAACACACATCCAAGTCCACACAGAAATGATTGTGGGAACACAAAATCAGAGTTGCAATCTCTCCAGATTTGAACCCAACTGAAAACCTGTGGCAGTCCAGAAGAGGGCAGTCCACAAGCGAAGACCCAGTAATATCAAGGAACTGGAACTGTTCTGCGTGGAGGAATGGTCCAAGATCTCTCAGCAAGTGTTCTCCAACCTTGTTAAGCATCTCAGAAAGCAGCCTAGTGCTGATATGTTCACCAGGGGAGGCTTCACCAAATACTAATAGTGGGCATGCCAATATTTTTGAAACCTGTGTTTTCCAAAAAAAATGTTTTTTGTTCAAAACACAGTGTAAAAATAAAAATGTGTCGTTTACTCATTTGTTTTAGCGCAAAATGTCACTCATTCCATATGTGGTTTATTTAATATATTCATTTTAGCCAGTGCCAATAATTCTAGAGTGTATTGGGTTTAGACCAGAATTTTAGGTCTGATTACAGCTGTAATGTGCATTAACATGCACGTGGGTGGCCATGTGTATTCGTCTGAGTATGTGTGTGTGGTTATGGTTGTGTGTGTGTGATATTTGAAAGAGGGATGACATTAAGAGACGTTACATTATCGCTGGCCTGGAACTGAATCAACCCTCTGATATTTACGTCTCCATGCAGTTCTCTTTATTTATTAATACAAATAGCGAGAGAGATAGAGAGAGAGAGAGATTCATTTGTAAGAGAAATGTGTCATTTGAAGTACAGGCTCATTTGCGCTGTTTGAAGTAAAGAGTTATTTACATTTAGATTCCTCTCTGTGTGTCGTATTAATGTGCACATCAATATGGCTCAGCTCTGTCTGTGAAAACGCAGAGCATCGTCATGTGTGTGTATATGCACAGAGTTCAGAAACATGTACTCAGCATCATGAACGCACTTTCTCACACATGCAGACACGGCTGTATAAGTGATGGCAGCTGAAGGTTAGAGATGGTGGCAGATGCAGGCATAGTTATGGTAATGGCAGCAGCGTGGTGGAATTGAATCTTCAGGATGGAGGCCACAGCTGATTGATGATATGCTAACATAGTGGATGGGGTAATATTGGAGGTGAGAAAGCGAGTGAGAGATGGGAGAAATATGGTCTTGTGCATGCAGTGATTTGTGTGCGAGAAATTTGTGTGAATGGGTGTGTGTGTGCTGTTTTGCTGCCTTTGTGGGGACCGAATGTCGGAGATGTGGACTTGACAACACTCGACAAAATAGAAAAAGACACACTAATTACTCAGACATTGACTTTGACTTGAGCTTTACGACTTGAAAAGACTCAAAGTAGAAGAAAAGTGGAGAAAGTCTCTACAGTTGGTTACTTTTCAAGTGAGTGGATTGGTTTTCTAGTGTGAGCATACCACAACTGACATCACAACATCGCATATATGTGTGTATATATATATATATGTATATATTATACATATATTAATGCCATCAAGTGTCTGTTTATTTGGTTTTGCTTTGCTTGAGAAATCTAGTTCGCCTCCCTAAGCTAGAAACAAGCTAGAAAATGGCAACATTTTCTGCATTGGATATATGTAATGCTTAGGCATGCAGTTTGCACAGTGTTAAATGGTGGAGGTGTAGAGCTGGTTTTAGGTGCTGGCACTGTTGCAATAACACTGTTCAATGAAATACCTCTGTTTTATTGCAGGCCTGGTGTGATGATAACCATGCAGGCCCTATCAGAAGAGGACCGCAGGCTGTGGATGGAAGCTATGGATGGGAGAGAGCCAGTATGTTGACATCTCTTATTTACTGTCAGGTCCATAATTTTTTGAACAGTGGCACATTTTTTGTAATTTTTGCCTCTGTGCACCACCACAGTGGATTTGAAAATGAAGCATTCAAGATGTGATCGAAGAGCTGACGTTCAGCTTTAATTCAAGCGGTTTAACAAAAATACTGCAATTACCGTTATGGAATTACCTGTTCCAGCCTGACTGTGCCCCTGTGCATAAAGCAAGCTCCCTTAAGACATGGTTTAATTAATTTGGTGTGGAGGAACTCCAGTGGGCTACACAGAGCTCTGACCCCAATCCCACTCAACACCTTTGGGATGCACTGGAACACCAATTGTGAATCAGGCCTGCACATTCAGCATCAGTGTCTGACCTAGCAAATGCTCTTTTGACTGAATAGGTACAGAATCCCAAAGGCACTCTTCACAGTCTAGTAGAAAGCCTTCCCAGAAGAGTGGAGGCTGTTACAGCCACGAAGGGGGTCCAACTCCATATTAATGCCCCTAGGAAGTAAATAGTCATACATGATCAATTACAGTCAGTGTCTTACTGTTGCAGTTGCTGTGAGTTTTTTGTTTCTGAAGAAAAGAGGAAGAATTATTGATGAGATTATAGACGAGTGATCAAGATTACAGGCCACCCCTCTTAATTTCTGGAGTAGATTTATGGTCTTTTAACACAGAGCACTATCATTAGATTCACTTCTGCCAACAGTTCAGGTGGCTAAAGTTGACTTCAGGCTACAGTCGAGTTTATTCTTGTTGTTTTAGGCTTCTAAAGATGTAGAGTGTGAGAGAATTCACTCAATGACCAGAGGCATTTCCCTCAGTGTGAAAATAGCTTCAATACTTTTGATGAATCATACTTGCGGGTGGAGGCGCCAAGTCTAACATAATAATGCAGGGTTTTGTTTTCCAGAATGCCTTGTAGAACAACATGGTTTTGTGGTAGAGTATGTATAATTATAGAGCAAGTATAAGACACAGTTTAACCCTAGATTACCTGAAGTTTCACTGCTGTTACATTCAGAGACTCGGGCTTTGTCCTATTTATGTAATTTAAATTTGCCACCAGAGCAGTCGCGATACGTGCATGTTCAAGTTGGGCAGTAAAAATCATCAGCATGTGGAATCGAACCTTTCTGTGTGCTGCTGTGTTTTCTATCACTATGTAAAAGAAGCACCATGCTGCCTTTATTGTTGCACACGCTATGAAACGTTCAAAACAGAATTCAGATCACTGAGGGTTTATAATCGCTGAGTTTCATCAGAAAACTGATAAAGGAGGACTGAAGTGTGAAATATAGTCCTATTTATGTGAAATCATCTTCATCCAACTGGTTTTTCAGATATAATCAAAGTTCAGTTTCCAGCCCACAGACAAATCGCCTTCACTTTCACTTGCATAGTTTGTGCAAGCATGTCAGTGTTTCTGAGTTTGGATGTGATTGAACATCAACTGTAGTCGTACAGCCACATTTAAGGCACCACAAAAGATGAAAAAAAAGATTTAATGCACAAACCTGCTGTGCATATGCTAAATACACTAAATATCCAAGCTTTTTATCCCGATTATGCATTCAAGTAGGTATTTGGAAGGGGATTACACATGTACAGTACATACAAAATGCATGCAAATGGATAGGTAATCCTGTGTAATACTGCAGCTTATTTATAAGCATTGTGCCCAGCTGCAGATGTTGTTTGCCATTGCTTGCTCATGTTTCCTGTTTTAACATATCCTTCATTGAAAGCAAATGTCTCTTTCATCACAGGTGTACAGTTTGAATCAAGACAGCCAGAATGAAGCCAGTAAGTGCTATGTTGGACAGCTCCTAATTCACCATCTGTTATGACCTGCTGTTTAGTCAGCTTACACACGTGGTCTACATTTGTACAAACATGAACGCGCCATACACATACATAAAAACAAGCAGAGCATTTGATCAAAACAGACCCGCATTGCAATTAAGACTGAATTACTTTCTTATGGGAGAGAAGCAAATGTTAGTAATCTCTGCGTTCTTTCTTACCTCTGTTCAGTGGCCCAGTTGGACGTGATTGGCTTCAATGTGATCAAGAAGTTCATCTATGCTGTAGAGACGAGAGGTATGCCTTTATTTGTGTGTGATGCACAATATCTAGCCACTGTGTGAGACATCACTGCAGGAGTGTGGGTATTTGTGTCTGATGTTATGTCTAAATGTCCCTATCCAGGCATTGATGAGCAGGGATTGTACAGAATAGTTGGCGTCAACTCCAGAGTGCAGAAGCTGTTGAGCCTTGCAATGGGTAAGACATCACTAACAAAAAGCAGATTTATATAGAATTTATATTAGGAACAATCCCAGCTCTCTTGTTGGGAATCCCTTGTCTGAATCACTCAGGCTGTGTCCCAAACTGCATACTACCAGACTAAGTAGTAGGCCAAAAATAGTACACCACCACTGGAACTCCATTCTTTAGTGTTTTATGTGTAGTATAGTAGTATGTGGTTTTAGATGCAGCTTCAGTTTAATTTAGTCGTCCTTTAGCCATCAGAGCCGCAACACTGCAAGATATTCCAAGAAGAAAGCAGCACACGCCCCCGAGTCAGTGCCCAGATCAGCAGTCATGTTTCTCAGAACCCGAGATCTTGCAGAATTTCTTGCGAGCAAGCGTGACTTTAGATCCAAACAGACATGACAAACAACAGCAGTGCACGAATAACAGCGCTAGTTATGTGTGCATTTAGCAGCGTAAAAGTGAAAGAAAACAGGCCAGATTCATAAAACTGAATAAACTGAATAAACTCAGATTTATCATGAAGGTAACAGCAAACAGTGTGGCGTTAACATGTTTGCTCATTCATAAACGAGGATTACTGGCATGTTTGACTGCGTGTGCATGTGCAGCATGGGGCACGTTTTCTTAATTTAATGACACAATCTTGCAAAAATAATATCTGAACCACTCTAGCAAAAAGATGCCAGAATAATTCAAATAGGTGAAGAGGAATTTGACGTGTTTAGATTCTAAGTACATGTTTGAATTGATTGTATTGCGAGCAGCTTTAGCTTTAAATCCTAGTTTTCACATTAAGTTACACCCAATTACACTTTTTACTTTTTTTTTTGTAATTTTTTTCTAGTATCAACAACATTTTCTGTTAAAGAAGCTTTGTTTCTTGATTAAAAGTTAAAAGCATCTTTTCCAAACAATTTACTATTATTGCCAGCACTTCTTCTCTTAAAATAGCTCATAGCTCTGTTTCTGAGTATTCTGATTTTCTTTGTTTTCATGTTCTTTCATTATGTCCATTTTGGCAGCCAGCCAGAGATTGACGAATAGCTCTTATTTACTGTGCAGCACATTTTGCATGGCATAGTGCTTTCACTGTTGAGGTCTGTGGATCTGGCCCAGTATATTTTATTTTATTTATCTATTTATTTTTTTACATTGTAGATGATTTTTACCCTTCCATTCTGCGAGACTCTTCGTTCAGCTTGGTTCTTGTTGGTTAGTGGTCTTTCGTGTGTGAAGTCAGCATGTTTCGTATGAGAGAATTGGTGTTTCCCCCACACTTAAGAATGTGTCATAAATATTGAACGTTTAATGTTTACACTTCCAAATCAGGCTGACCATGACTGGACTTTGAGCAGATCGCAGGGGTGAAGACTGGATTTTGAATTTTATTTTTATGGACAATGTTAATGGTACCTCTTTGAGTGCTGGGTTGGGATAAGGCTTAATATACAGTCTGTGAAAAAGTATTTGCCCCTTCCCGGTGTCTTCTATTTTTGCATATTTGTCACACTTGAATGGTTTAGATCATCAAACCACTTTTAATATTAGACAAAAATAACAAAAGTAAACACAAAATGCTGTTTTTAACTGACAGTTTCATTTATTGATTTATCCTCCGCAGAGATGTAAAAGACTCATTGCAAGTTATTGCAAATGTTTGATTGCACTGCCAAGGGTGGAACAACCAGTTACTAGGTTTAGGGGGGCAATTAATTTTTCATATGGGTGATATAGGATTGGAATAAATCTTATCTTCAATAAATGGAATATTGATTTAAAAGCTGCATTTTGTGTTTACTCATGTTGTCTTTATATTAATATCTGTTGGATGATCTGAAACATTTTAATGTGACAAATTAGCAAAAATAAAAGAAATTGGGTGAGGGGCAAATACTTTTTCACAGCACTGTAGCCCATACCTGATTCATTGAAATACACCTTGATACTGACTTACTCTGACCTTTATGGTTCATTCTGTTATTTGATTTCTCCTTGCAAGCTTTCAAGAATGCTTGTTTATAGAATAGCACAGTGCATGCTTATCAGATCAGTTTTATGATTTCAGTGTAAGCACTGATGCAAGACACAGTGTACAGTATCAGTTATATCTTATGGGCTAAGGCACAACTCTGATGTGGATAATTTTAACCCTGGAGCTCTGTGGTTATCTATCAGTGTTAATGCACTTAAGCCTGGCAAAAAGTTCTCATCTGTTTAAGATGAAAAAGCAGAAAAAACCTCCTGAAATGGTCTTTAGACTGAGTACATAGTAACCAGTAATTAAGTAAACTGTGTAAGAATTACGACATTTTTTTCGGAGCCATAACAACTATTTGGTACGTTCTTATAAGAGAGAACACACCGGTCAGCTCAGAAATACCAAAAGGCGTTTGAGGGCCAAAGAAAACAACTGTGATGGATAACAGAAGAATTTTCCCTTCACTTCAACAGTTGGCAAGATCAAGAACGCCCACCACGAGGTACACATTTCTGTGTCAAAGTCAACAATCAAGAGAAGAGAATCAGGAAAGAATAGTAAATACAGATGGTTTACCTTATAATGTAAACCACTGGAAAGCCTCAAAAACAGGAAGACCAGATTAGAGTTTACCATCTAAAAAATGCTTGCGTAGAAGAACATCTTATTAATGGATGACCCAAAAAATCAACTTGTACCAGAATGATGAGAAGAGAAGAGTATGGGGGAGGGAAGGAACTGCTCATGACACAAGCATACAGCTTCATCTGTGAAGCATGGTGGAGGTAGTGTTCTAGTATGGGCATGTATTGCTGCCAATGGAACTGGTTTCCTTGTATTTATTGATGATGTAACTGCGGACAAAAGCAGCCAGATGATTTATGAAGTATGCAGGGCTATGTTATCTGATTCAGCCGAATGCTGCAAAACTCAGGGGACGGTGCAGATGGACAGTGACCCGGAGCATACTGCAAAAACAGCCCAAATACAAAGAAGTGGAATGTTCTGCAATGTCAGTCACCTAACGTCTGTCCATTTGAGCATGCATTTCTCTTACTGAACGCAGCACTGAAGGTAAAACACCCCAAGAACAAGCAGGAACTGAAGACATCTGTAGTAAAGATCTTGGCAAAGAATCACAAGGGAAGAAACCCGGTGTCTGGTGATGTCTCTGGGCAAAGCATTTAATTCATGATTATGTTAGTTTATCCAGTTACTTTTTATGTGGGCGGCTACAATATGATGAACTTGATCAGCGCTACCCATAATTCAGCATTACCCTGGATGGGTTTAAGTTCTAAAGGAGTTGTGGTGAGGACAAGAAGTGGTCTGAGATCCCATCAGCACTACAGAAGACCAGAAAGTGAACACAAAAAGTACTGAGGTCATTTGTAGCTGGTTGCCTTTCAGGTTCACTTGAACAGAAATAAGTTCAGTTAATTCAAAAAAGAACTTTGTGAAAACACTCATAGAGTCTCATAAGTGACTTTGAACTCACTGCGCTTGGTAAGATTCATTGGCTTCACTTGCTATCCATTTTTTGAACTCTTAGATAATGCAGAGAGCTTTGCTTATCATGATAGCTGGAATTCCCCTCATTGCAAGAGTGAAATGTCTTCAGTCTGCTGTCTTTGAAAAGGCCCAGAAACACTGCCTCACACTGTAGTAAGGACTGGTTGATATGAACCTATTCACCTGCGATTCATAAGGTTTGATCATGGTGAACACAGTCGCCTGTGTTGACTCTGAATAAACAAAGGATCTGCATACATCTCTGTCTTTTAATGATGCTGTGAGAAGAGATAAAAGCTATGCTGTCCGTGTACAATCAAGATACTGTCTGTTTTGACTAGCATTGGAAAAGAACTGGTACAAATGACAAGCATGGAAAATGCTTTGCAGAAGGTTCGTTCTACCTTGCGCTTTCACTCACAGGCCACTTTCTAAGCTCATTATAAATCCTCTACATATGTGTACAGTTACAGACTGTAGCCCATCTGCTGCTGCACAATTATCAGCCTCCCTTCCTATCCCATTCATCACTGATCAGTTTTTAAGAGTGGTCCACCACTCAAAAGTGTCCAACCAGGAGCAGTTCAGTAGTAAAACTGACTACTCATAAAGGGTTAGAGGAAGGCTAACATCATGCATCAGCAAATGGGCTGCAGTCTTTAATGGTGCAGTGCAGCACAAAAGTCAGAGACTAACATTTCATTTATTTAATTTCCAGTCAAAGTGACCAATAAGTACAAGTTCCATTTTACAGCATCAGGAAAAAAGCAGAAAACAGAAAATGACACAGAAGCCTCAACAATTAAATCTAAATGTTTCAGTATTAGGTGTGTGCACATGAGAAATGAAATGATTTTAAGGCAGTTAAGGTGTTTTAGGTGGCTGCTTGTGTGCATGTTAGTGTGAAACAGCAGTAACACCTTTGAACCACCTGACCATCTCACCTGTATAAGCTTGCTAGCATTGCAAGTAATGGCAGTAGATGTAAATAGATCAAATAAAAACTGATAGATCTGCTATTATAGTGTTGGAGAATTATGTGTAATTTTCTTTTAAACATGTTTTCTGTTTTTTTTTTGAATAACTTGTACCTAAGTGACCAGTGTAGGATGAAGTTGACTCCATTTGTCAATCCATCGTACAGATCCAGTGATAGTACCACAAAGGTTACTGAAAAACATTTATCATGTATCCAGTCATTATCGATGTGAACACAAAGGCTCGTTGCAGTAATACTTTATATTCAATTGTATGTGTTTATCCAAACTATGTCACTTAATATATCACTTCTTCCCCCTCAGACCCCAAAACGTTTGCCGACGTAGAACTGGACAGCTCTGAGTGGGAGATCAAGACCATCACCAGCGCTATCAAACACTACCTCAGGTACCCGCCCCCTCTGTCATGCTCACACACACCCCCTGCTGAGTCCAGCCTGTGTGTGTGTCCTGCTGAGCTTTCTAGGGCTGACTGGTTTGAACGCAGCTGCTGGAGGTGTTTAATCTTCCTCTCTGCTAGCCTCCTGTACCTCTAACCCAAATTAATGAACACTAATTGCATTGAAAGACCATTATATGGTGGATTAATTGAGTTTCGTTACAAAATGATATATATCAATTTGTAGCCATTTTTATGTGGACACCCCTACTAATGATTGAGTTCTGGGGTTCAGGCACACTCATGGCTAACAGCACATAGCCATGCAGTCTCCATAGGGAAACACTGACAGTAGGTTTTACTGAAGAGCTCACTACAGCGCTCCAAACTGCCTCTGGAAGCAGCATCAGCACATGAAGTATGGGTCAGGAGCTTCATGAAATGGGTTTCCATGGCTGAGCATCTGCATACAAACCCAAGATCACTTGCATGCAAGCCTTACAATGCAAGCACAATGCCCAGCATTGCCTGGAGTGGTGTAAAGCATACTGCCTCTAGGACTCTGGAGCAGTAGAAGTGTGTTCTCTGGAGTGATGAGTAATGCTTCACTATCGGCAGTCTGATGGACAGAGCTGGGTTTGGTGGATGTCAGGAGAATGCTACCAAGTGCCAGCAGTAAAGTTTGGTGGAGGAGAGATAATGATCTGGGCTGTTTTTCAGGGTTTGCGCTAGACCCCTTAGTTCCAGTAAAAGGTAATGTTAATGCTACAGTATACAAAGACAGTTTTAGACAATCATATGCTTCCAACTTTGTGGCAGCTGTTTGGGGAAGGCCTTTACCTGTTCCAACACGACAGTGGCCCTGTGTACACAGATGTGGTTTGACAAGTCTGGTGTAGAGGAACTCCAGCGGCTCCCCCGGAAGCCTGACCACAAAACCACTGAACACCTTTGAGGAGAATTGGAACGTCCATTGAACCAGACCTCCTCATCCAACATCACTGCCTGACTTCGCAAATGCTACTTTGACTGAATAGGCACACATTTCCCCAGACAAACTCCAAAATCTTGCAGAAAGCCTTCCTAGAAGAGTGAAGGCTGCAAAGAGGTACCACAGGTTTGGAATGCAATGCCTGCAAGCTCATATAGGTGTGATGGTCAGGTGTTCACATGCTTTTAGTCATATAGTGTAGATCACTTGATGATTGTTATATATCACACAGGTCCAGTCAAAAATACAGATATGTCCAGGCAGCCACATTTAGGTTTAAGTTTTAAAAGACTATTTTAAGTATTACAAGACTATTTTAAGTATTTTTTTTATTTCAGAAACTTTTAATTTTACATTTTTAGTCGAAGAGTTCTGTTTTAACACTTTGACCTTGAGAACTCTCTGTTTATCTCCCTAAAGCCCTCATGTACCGTATCTGTCAATAGGCCTGACGCTCTTTGTCTCCTTGTTCATCTGTTTGTCTGTTGCTGTATCAGTTCACCCTTCAACCTTATTGCATCTTCGCTCTGTTGACAGGATGCTACCTGCACCTCTGATGACCTACCAGTACCAGAGGAGCTTCATAAAAGCTGCCAGTGAGTTCAAGAGCTTTCTTTCTCACTTCTCTGTTTTTTTCCATTTTCTTCCTCTTGTTGTGATGTCTGGTGTGACCAGTCTCGCCCTCTTTCTGTCCTTGCCGAGAACACACAGGCTCCATTTCTTCTGATTTATTTTGACAACTTTGATAGCCCCTGATAGCGCAGCTTTCTCGACCGCTCGTAAGGCCGACCCCATCATGGTCGGCAGCAGGAAGTCAGGGCGTGTCAGTCGGACGGAAAAGGAGAAGCAAATTTTTACACTGCAGCCTCCAGCGTCCTGTCTACTATATCCGCTGTTGTCAGTGACTGTTCTCTCTCTCTCCTTTTTTTTCACACCTTTTATCTTTGATCTATCACTCTGTAACTTCTTGACTTCTAATTTTATTAGAGTTATTACTGTCATTTTTGATAGACTGTTCAGATACAATCACATAATTGCATTATTTACTTGAGGAATTACAGTCACATCCGGTTTGCTTTCTGTCTTGACATGTTCGAGGCTGAACTTCAGACTGTTTCTGTTTGTTTTTTAACTTTTCATTACATTCAAATTGTAATATAAAATCTCCTCTTATTCTTACAAACATCATATGGACTGAAATTTTAGAATCTGCACAGAATAAAAAAAGAAACAATTCAACAAAAATAAGACAGGATTTCAAGAGGTTCTCGCCATCGTCCCCTCCATTCCTCTCTACGCACACCTCTGTCTCCTGCTCTGTTTTCTTCAGCGACTGTTTGTTTCGTGAAGTCATACAGTGGGGTGAAGTAAGGATCGTGTCCTCTTGTGAACCTTCATTTTTCTCTTTTTTTTTTTTTATTTTTAAGAGGCCTCGCTCCTCCCTTTCTCTCCTCCCCTCTCCTTCTTCTGGTCTCCCAGTCACGGTTATGCTAAAAAAAGGGCACGGTGCCACCTGGAGCCCGCCTGTAGTCTGGGAGAGAGAGAGAGAGAGTCAGGGGATTGGAATGTGTATGCAGGCGAGAGTGGAGTGTTTGTGTGTGCTGCTGCTTAGAGGAAAAAAGCTGTTCATGAAAAATCCAGAGAAAGACTAAGCTGCAGAAGAGGTGATAGAAGTATGAAAACCTGTGCATGTATGCTACTACATGTCAGCATGTGTGCTTGTTTTGGTGCACAATCAAGACAAAAAAGCTGACTATATCCTGAATTTGCAGGAAAAATGGAGAAAAACAGGTCTAATCTACAATGTGTGAAAAAAACAGGCTAAAGTTAACACCCTCAAAATGGTCTTTAAAAGGCTAAATGTTTTATTTTTTAAACTGAAAGAACAAGACTTTTTGGTTGCTGAGTTTCAGATTCTTGTTACTTATAGGTTCTTACTTAAATCTGCACGATGTAAGTTTTGGGGATTTGGGGACCTCTTTGATAGAAATGTGTAATTGCACACGACGTGTGAAAGAATATCTTGTACTGTTGTTTGTGCTCTGGACCCCTTCCCCAAGCCAAAAAGTCCCATGAAATCCGAGACCGTTGACTTTTAAGTTATTATGTCAGGCTTTACAAGGTGACTGGCAGCAGCACACGCACACCCAGTAATGCTGTGTAATGCTATTTTTTTTTCAGTTTTAACAAAAAAAACATCTTATAGTTCAGCTTTAAAAAGCCCAACTCTTTGAGAATCCCCATTTCTGCTGCGGGTTTCTAATAGTGTATTAGCTGAGCTAACAGTGGATGAAAAGTAGATGAAAATTTTTGGACTTTCCAGGATATTTGAAGCTTGCAAAAGACACTGCATATTTTATTTGAAGGTTGTAACAGACAATAGCATGTATTTGAGCTTGTATGTAGCAGTTTCACAATGATTCTTTGAGTAAATGTCCCTGAGAATACCACTGCTGATCATTTCCTTTTTTAACTGCTCACTGAAACCTGGTTAAGCTACCGCTTGTATTCACAGGCAGTGACGAATCTAGAACATCCAAAAGGCCTAGAGTGACATCCATCCCATCTATTGGAAATCAAAACAAGATTGGTTGATTTCACTGTCACTTCTTAATTATGTTGATAGGTAATCTAACATGAAAGGCCTTCAGTCCAGATCCTGAAGTCCTAACCAATGGGAGAGCTCACTTGGCTAGATCTGCCTAAAATATCCTTGCAAAGGTCAAATACAGTTAAAGAAATCATTAAGAGTACAAGACCCTGTATAAAATACCTCTCTATGTAAATAAAATACATACGTTATATATTATTATATGTCCATATTAAGTATATAGGACATACCTAATGACCCCACATCCTGTGTGTGTGTGTGAGATAGAGACCACCTCTCTTGTCCTTGAGCTTGTCCGGCCAGTTTGAGCTTCGCTTGCTGCGGCACTGCCCCACCCATTACACTGCTGCCAAATATCTGCTCTATATTTACCCCACAGCTCTTATCCAACCTGCATTTCACACGTGGGCTGTCTGAGTGTGTCAGCTCCATGCCAGTCCTGCGCCTGCCTCATTTCTCCTGTTCCATCACTTCTCTCCCTCCATAAACACTCGGGAGGGATGTCCTAACCATGGTATTTCAACATTGAGTATCAGCCGAAAGGGAGTCTGATCTGAATATTTGTAGTACAGCTGTGCAATGCACACTTCAAGTACATGAAAGTTAATAACAGCAATCTGTTTTAGGTTAGATGTGCTATGCTTCCATTTACTGTTAAGTGCTATAGTAAAACCACTGTATTTTAAGTATGTGCACAATCTGACACTGTTTTGTTGGGGGGGGTGCCTACTTTTTTGAAATGGCCAGTTTATAGTGTCTTTAGCCCCCAGGTTCAACACAAAATTGCCTATTCTGCCTTTTAATCTAGTCTTCTTGGTTATAAATTTATTTTTAAGGACTTTCCCCTTTTTTCTCATTTATTGAGTTAAAGAAACACAGTGGTGATATTGAGGCAGATACAGTACTGGGCAAAAGTCAGAGACCACTTGCAATTTGTTTCATTTACAGACAAAACAACCATTAACTGCAAGCTATTCTTTTTGCAGTTTCAGGGAAAAGCAAAAAAAAAAAAAAGAACAGCCTCACCAACTAATATAATATCATTTTTTCGGTACTCAGTGTTTTGCTTCCATTCTTTTCAGGAGACTAGTTTTCAGCTTTTCAAAGAAATCTGCAGGGCTGTTTTTCCACACCTCCAATGTTCAATCTTAGAAGTTGGTAGGATTTTCTACTTCTCATGATGCAAGTAATCCCAAACACATTAAATGATGTTGAGATCTAGACTCTGAGGTGGACAGTTCATTGTTCTTGGAACACCAGCAGCTTCTTTTTTATTTGAAAATGTTCCACTTTTTTGTCTTTTTTGTTTTGTTAGTAATGGCTTCCTGACAGCTACACATCATTTCAGACCCTTATATTTTTCTCACATTTGAAGGATGGACAGAAACTGTGGATGTTTTCAGATCTGAAGCAAGAGTGGGGCTTGGTTTTACACAGTGCAAATAAATGTGAATAAATAGTGGAAAATGTTGGTAGACGTGCTGTTTAGTACGGTATGTTAGTGTTGTAGAGTAAATATGAAATAACTAACTAACTAAATACATTAATGTAGCAGCTAAGTTTCAGTTTCATGGCACTGTGCAGCAGAGAGGCAGTGCTGAGAGTCCACAGTGAAGGACTTTCAGCCCTCCCTCGTTTCCTCTTGTACTGTGGGAGAGGATTGGGGATTATTAGTGTTTCATGGCTGCTGGATAGATTACTCTGTCAGTGACCTTTGGGAGAGAACGGCTCTGTGGCTTATCGTCACTGTCAGTGGGCGGTGTCATTTTGCTTCAGACCAGTAGGAGTCACTGTCTCCTGGGTTTGGACAAGGAGAAAGCATGTGAGCCAGGAGAGAGCTGAGAAAATGTCCTGCGGGGAGGGATATGTGTGGACGAATGCACGCATGTGTACACACACACCCTCACACGGGAGCAGTAATGATTTTTTTAGGGTGTGGACCATGATGGAGACTGAGCTAACAGACTTGGAGTTAGAGAGAGGAACACATGAAACTGTCTAGTTCTAGGAATGGATATATGTATGTACATGTATATGAATGTGTATATGGTGTAACCGAAATGGGGTTTGAAGGGCTAATATAATGCTAATACTGGACTGTTTGATTCATTTTTGGGAAAAAATGATAAAATTGCAGACATTCGCAGATTTATTAAGCATGTAATTTGCAAAGTACAAATCTCACTTCCAAATGTTGCAATAAGCAGGGACATTCCTGAAAAAGACATCTTTTAGAAGGCAGCCAATGTTGCTCCAAAATGAATGTATACCTTAATGGTGCCTTCACAGATGTGCAAGTTACCCATGCCATGACCACTAATACACCCCCATAATATGACAGACCCTGGCTTTTGAACTTAACGCTAGTAACAATCTGGTTGGTCCTTTTCTTCTTTGACCCAGAGTCTAGACCTCTATTTCTCTAATCAAGATGAAAGATTGACTCATCAGACCACAGTACACATTTCCACTGAGCATCAGTCCATTTCAGACGAGTCCAGAGAAGTTGGCAGCATTTCTGGACATTGTTTACATATGGCCTCTGCTGTGCATAGTCCAGTTTTAACTTGCATTTGTGGATGCAGTGACGAACAGTGTTTACTGACAAGGGTTTGTCAAAATATTCCCGAGCCCATGCAGTGAGATACATCACAGAAGCTTGCCAAGTTTAAATGCAGTACCGTTTGAAGGGTTGAAGGTCATGGGCATTTAGTTTTCATCCTTGCCCTTTACACTCACAGATTCCTCTGGATTCGCTGAATCTTTTAATGATGCGCAACATAGAGGCTGAAATATCTAAACTCCTTGCAATTGCTTGTTGAGAAATATTGGGCCACATTCACCAATGTCTTCCTGTTTTTTTTTCTTACATTTGTTCTTGAGAAAGGTCTACATCAGATTCATGAGGTTTTAAACCACAGAACTGTTTGCACCTTTGTGCTCTTGAGTGTGCGCAGATTCTGTTTTTACCTAAGAACAAATCCCAAATAAGAAAACACTGGTGATTGTCGGAATCTTCGTGAAGATAAATGGGTTTTAAGATTTTTTTTTTCTTGAAACAGTTGGTGAATGAGGACCATTGTTCTTAAACTGTTGCTCCTTTTGTAACTAATTATGATCTCATCATCTGTTTAAGAGTTGTTTTAACATTTCCTAACATTCCTAGTCTTAAATTGCTCCTGTCCCTACTTATTAGGAACATGTTGCAGGTATCTGTTTCAGAATGAGTGTATAGTCAGTAAGGTAAAAATTTCTTGTCCTAGTACTGTAAATACAAGTCAAAGTGGATTTACAAATCACTGATTTTTGCTTTTATTTGAATTTCACATACTGTGCCAAAAATGGATTTGAGATTTGTACTTTAAGCTGCTTCATTGCTGTAGCTCAATAAAAACCAATAAAACCACATCTTTAGAAATGCAGAGACCACTAAGTGGATACAGACTCCCGAAATTTAAATATTTACTTGTTTTGCAGTGGTGCTGCAAGGTTAATTTAATAGAAAAGATTTTGAGTGTCATTATTGTGTTATTATTTCTGGTTTGCTACATTAGCTTTGAAGCGCCAGTTAAAAATAAAGAAGCAAACTATGGACTCCAGACATGTCTTAGTGTTATGAGAAAACTTGTGTGAATTAGATTTTTCTGTGACTCATTCCCTTAACCACTTCAAAGTGAGAGCCATATTTCCCCACTGCTTTGAGGTTTAACTTGATGATTAGAGTAGTGAGTAATGAATAAGTTTGAGGCAAATGAATCCATCGTAAATCAATCGGACGCAACCATCAATTCAATTTCTCTCGATAACTCCCTATAGTCTAATCCAAACAGCCGTTTTTTTGGCTGATGAGAACTCATTCTCTTCGAGAATTACGATGCACCAACATGTAGAAATATGTTTTCACTGTTTGTAGACCTAGCTGACATTAGCTACAGTACTTAGCCTAGTTAGTGACTTTTCAATCAGTAAGTGACTAATCAATCACATCCTTAATAACGTGTCCTCAGAGCATCCTAAACTTTTGTTTCATCGACTTCTAAGCCTGTATATTTTCTCCGCCTTCTTAGAAAATTCAGGATTCTAATACTGACACCTCAAACGCTGAATGCTCAGTCCCTCTGCACATCCCTAGTGGCAGCAGTAATTTCTGTGTCTTTCTGGGCTGCAGTGTGAGTGAGTGTATTGGTGGAGGTGGTGTATTGGTAGGATGTGGTGATGAATGGGGTTGAACAGTCACTCTGACTCAGTGAGAATGAGCCTGAGTTTCCAGCCTTCCCTCAACATCAACACTCACATACCACACATTGCAGCTACTGCTACTGCAACAAAAAAGCAGTAAATTGCATTTGCAGATGGTAAATGCATAAAACTGACTGACTCTTTCTCTCTGTTTTTCTCTCTCAGAGTTAGATAATCCGGAGGCTCGTGTGGCTGAGATCCACAGCATTGTCCATCGTCTCCCTGAGAAGAACAGGCAGATGTTGGAGCTGCTGATGAAACACCTGGCCAAGTAAGACACTCCCCCTTCCCTTTCATTACCTTATAAATCCCACCATGCCCTGATCATAAGAGGATTACCACTGTAATGGGCTCAAAGCTGTCGACAGCAATAACAAACCGGGCCTACCCCCTCCAGCACACGCCACAAAAAAACAAGCAGTTCAAATGTGTCTGTTTTCCTCCTGCCCTTAATAAGGTGTATTTTGTCATCAACTGGCAACCGCCATTAAAAGGTTATCTGCTTGTAACTGTACTCTCTGTAGACTTACTATGAATGATAAAATGTATTGGTTCTGAAATCTGATTGGCTGAGCCACACTGGAAGACATCAAACCTCAAAGCAGAAAAGAATGATATGCTAGACGGAAACCAGAGATTTTTGGGTATCAAGAAAGCTGCAGTTGTGTCGTCTGTTTTATCTCAGCGCAGCCGTCTTTGTGGAGAAGGAATGAAATGTTTTCACAGCAGGGGGTTCTCACCCCTCTCCTTTCACCCCTTTTTGCTTGCTAGCAGCTTAACACAGTTGTAACATTGCTTTTTGTTTAAAACTATGCATTTCTTTTTGTTCAAAACTATCCAATATCCATTTCTTTTTGTTTTGAAATATCCACCAGTGGAATGGCCTCTAGGTGGCCTGCAGAAAGAGGCTACTGTGCCAAGTAACATATGTTGCTTTGCAGCCATAGCCTATATTAACTAACTAAGAATTGTTCATTCCAGGTATTTGTGCCTTGATGAACAGATCTTTGCCTTGGCGAAATCACTGTAACGCTTGGCCCCTCATTGCCTATTACTTTGGTTTAAAACAGTGATCAATAATCCTATAACTGAATATTTTCAGGAATCCATAAGACCACTGTAGAATTCTGCTGGAGCCTGAAGAGTTAAGCACAAAGCAGATTAGAGCAGGAGAATGGGGCTGTAATCCACTTTCACTTGGCCACTTACTCTGTGTATATCCTCTCCTGTTCAAGCCCCAACACAGACCGACCATCGTGAGGGACTTTCCAGTTTGAGGTGGAAATTTTTAGAGACTCTTTGCCAAAAGTTCTGAAGTCATGCATTATTTTTGATGTTTTGATTCCACCAAAGTCATTAGAACTAGGATAGCACTGTCAGCTATATTACTAGAATTTCTCTTCACTCCCATTAACCTGAGCTTTTACTGTGTTACTGGTGTAGTTGAAAGTTGCAGAACAGCACAGTGGCTTGGAGGGTGGCAAACAGTCATAAGTTCACTCACAGGCCACCCCTGTTTCTCAGACTCAGATACGGTGTTGTGGTTTGACATTAGCCACAGTGTTGACTGATATTTTACAACGATATGAAAGAATTAGTTCCTCTCTTTTACGGTAAATCAGAAGACTTGCGATTTTACCTATTTGAGCCACTTTACTAGTTCCTCAGCTCCTAAATCCTCAATTTGGTTGGCTTCGCAGGGCGGCTAGCTCAGAGGATCTTCAGTCAATGCTGAAGACGGGTATTACACCCTACTCTGCAGAGTTTCTGGTAGTGATACATTCTAGCCCTTTGTGCAGTGTCTTAAGATGTATCTTTCTTAATAGGCCAGTGGGTCCATGATCCAGATGTTTTAAATGACCATTTGGTAAAATCTTGTATGTTACTTAAACTCTTAGGGCGTTTTCACACTTGGGCCGTTTCAGCGTCTGAAGTGGACCCAGACCGCCGAGTCATGGTTTCTTTTGCATATGTGAACACGCCAAACGAACTTAGACCCCCCTAAACGGCCCCAAAAACGGACCGAACTGAGACCACCTCTCGAGGTGGTCTCAGTTCGGTTCGTTTGTAGTTCGTTTTGTGGTTCGATTAATTTGTGCATTGTGAAAACAAAACGGCCCCAGTCCGCTTCAGCTTTGCTTTATGCTGAAGAGCTCAAGGCTCACAATACACACAGCCACAGTCTTCACTTTAGCAGGTAAACAGACCAAGGATCATTTATACGGTTCTACTCAGGATAAAGTCTGTCTGTGATCTGCGACAGACAGCAGCGCTGACTTATTAAAGCGATCAGATGCGAGAGCTCGCGTGATTATACCGTGTTAAAGGCTCGAGCTGGGCACGCAGCGCAGTTCTCAGCTGCTTTCACTCTGAACGCTGAGAGAATGAAAACTCGCCGGGTGGAGCTTCAGTGAGGAGCACAGCCGAACACGGAGCCCACCGCGGCAGACCCGCAGGGCCGTGTTTCCAATTTTGCGCGATGCACTTCGTCAGTCGTTACACTGTCACATTTACACAATCTTCCCTTTTCCTGAATGTAATAATTCAGCAAAGACATTTGTTGTCTGATGTTTACTGCTTAGGTTTTGTAGTAGAGCTGTTATAGCCAAGAAATACTGGAAGCTTATACTCAATTAACTGCAAGAATTATTACTCAAAAAATTCCCTGAAATCTCATGTTAATGTATGTTGTACAGCTTTTGTCTACATAAGCAAGTCTGTTTTTGAATACTGAACAATTCAACCTGGTTTAAGCATTTTGGACCGTGATAATTGCTAAGGAATAAGCTTCCATTACTTGTTAGCTATATTAGCCTTGTAGCTCCTGTGCAAAACTAATGAAGCTAACTTCAGACACTTGAGACATTCTCTAAGACAAACCTCATTTCAGGTTAGGGGAAAATTGTGCAAATTTAATTTTTCAAAAACCTGTCATGTTTATATTTATATGTAAATAACAAGCCTGCAGTTCATGATAAAGGAATGTTAAAGGAATGGTTCAGTGAAAAATCTAATTTACACAATTTTCCACTTACTCTAAATTGGCCATGGCATGTTTGTTGTCCAAATTTTGCTTCTTTAGTTTAGGAGTTACCTGTGCTAACAAGCACCAGAACTTGCTTAGTCACCCAAGTAGCCCAAATTAGTTTTGTAAAAAAAATATGCCCAAAACGTCTCTCAACCTGCTCAAACGGCATCCAGGTGTTCATTAAGGTCCCGCAGACTTGATATGATTTAGATTAGAATATGACTTACTGTGAACTGTGAACAATCACCAAATAAACAGTCAGCGAATTTAGACAACATGGTTTGTATTCATAAACCACATTTTTACAGAAACAATTTTGGGTGATTATTGAGTTGTAGTGCTTATTAGCAACGTTGGCTTCAAAGCTCCAGTTCTAAACCAAAGACACAAATTTTGGACTTCAAACATGTCTTGGCCGATTAACTACTTCTCGGGTAAGTGGAAAATTAGATAAAACTGATTTTGCGCCAAACTATTCCTTTGAAGTGGAACACATCCTACTTTCGGTTTTCCCCCTGCAGTGAAACATGTCATGGTGAAAATACAGCAAATAGGAAACCATGAAACAACTCTGCAACTAAAATTAGCCTGCAGGATGTGCTGCAATCGGAAGTAACTGCACAACTATGAGTCATTATGTAACCTAAAGTAATACTGGCCTTTCCTGCAGCGTGGCCAGCCACCACCAGCAGAACCTGATGACGGTGGCCAACCTGGGCGTGGTGTTTGGCCCCACCCTGCTTCGGCCGCAGGAGGAGACAGTGGCTGCTATCATGGACATCAAGTTCCAGAATATCGTGGTGGAGATCTTGATTGAGAACCATGACATGGTGAGTTTCCAACCCTTTGGCACAAGCTCAAATCGTCTGTTTGGGTAACGACAAGCAGGTCAAGAAGCAGACAGGAAATGGGGGAAAAGAAGACCTGGTGAAAAATAATCACTTGTTGACGACCTAATGTTGGCAGTCTATTCACACATACTGATACATATAGAAGTGGAGTGAAAGTAAAATTCACAGCTATGAGTTGTAGCGTGAATTTGACCATATTTATATTCATTTTTTATAGATAGTAGTATGTTAGCAGTGCTAGAAAACAGGTTAATTTGAAATTTGTCACAGATTGAGTGCAGTTTCCACAATATTAGTTAGTGTCTATAAGCTTTCATGACTTGATGGCTGCCTTAGCCATGTATCTCCAGTGCTTAAACTAAAGAAAATTTCTTTTTCATGGCTGATCAACTGTAACTGCAGGAGGGGAAAGTTGTGTAAGGGTGCTTTCCAAACCCTTGTTTGGTGCAAGCCAACCAAGGTTTTTCTTTAGTTCAGTTTTGTTTTTATTGCTTTGATTGTGATATACATAGATTTATGCATTATGCATCATAGTTTCATGCAATGTAATGGGTAGAATAAGAATGAATTTATATGAAGAATTTACAGTCATATGCAAAACTTTGAATACCCCTGGTATTCAATTGTAGAGATTTTGTACCAAACATAATTAAATTTGACTAGTGGTGCCCAAACTTTTGCATATGACTGGAAGTGAGGGGTAGTTTTGGATTTTATTCAGTGATAGGCTAGTGAAAGCTTAAAAAACATTGTTTTTTGGCACTAATAGGGGCAAATATGAAACTAACTGAATGGCAAATTGCTGACAAATCAACAAACACATATATTTATAAATTTGTGGACTTTAACCATTGCAGTGTGAAACCAAATCAAATATGGTATCACAAAACTAGGTGTGAAAACAGCCTAAATTTGATTTTCATGGAACTATTACTTTAAATAACAAAATGCTACGTGCCTTGTTTTGGTTGGGAAAGCTTATACATTTTTGAAGAGCAGTATGAGCTTTGCAGCCTTCTCTTTCAACTGCAAATACGCTCGGCCTGCTAGTGCTTATGAGCTGAATGCCACGTCGCTCCATTGACACAGGAGTGCGAATAGAGTGGATAAAGCCCCTCCTGAAGGGGTTGAGAACAAGCCAGTGTGCATGTCTAGCATCCAGCTCTATTTAAAGAGACTCACATTAGTCGTAGCAGGTAACTTCAAAGCCAGGGGGAGGGGAGAGGGGCGCCCACAGCTCCATCTTAAAGGGCAGGCTGCTTGCATTCGGTTGTCACAGCAACCAGCAAACTGGCCAAGGGCCGTCTCAGCAACCTAAGCCTTGGGGGAAAGGTCATTGTGGAATAAAGGGGGGGAGATTGATTTTTACCTCTAATGTGCTTTTCTGACTGCGAATGACACTATAAGAATATATGGAGAGTGCTGAAATGAATGGAATTTCCAGCTAGCTCATATAGGTCTGATGGTCAGGTGTCCACATACATTTGACCACAGAGTGTATCTGTATATTTACATTTATGGCATTTGGTAGACCCTCTTATTCAGAGCAACATACAGTTTGATCATTTTACACAGGTAGGCAAGGGGAGTGTTAGGTGTCTTGCCCAAGGACTCTTATTGGTATAGTGTAGGGAGCTTACCCGGGTGGGGGTTGAACCCCAGTCTACAGCATAGCATACCAACCAGATTTTATTTATGTCACTTGTTATGAGGGCCTTGTTATGTATGTGACGTGTACCGTTGTGAATGCCCCCTTTGAAGTGTTATGGCCCTTTTGTCAATACAGTGTCATCTACTTCATAAGACATCATGCCGTTATTGGCATAAGATGCGCCTAAAATCTGAAGTATCGCTTTATGATTATTCAACCTTGATGTTTGTATTCTGTCCCTATGTAGGTAGCCTTCAAATATATTGACAGCGAATATACATGCAAGTTGTTCTGCGCCAGATGTAGTAAACTCATTGGAGCGTTCAGAAAAGTCAAGCTTCATTTTTCACGAGTGGCTGAGGGCAGGGTGTTTGAAGCAAAGTGAAAGAGGCAGCATTCGAGAAGTAGTGCTGAAAGAGAGATGTGGTTTTAATGCTTGTTTTACATATGAGAGATTGTAGCTGTGTGAAGATGATGAGGCTTGCTGTCTTATTAATAGAATCAGAGTGCATTAAGCTGACTATACTGCCTTCTTCCATACCATGTGGAGTGTAGACCAGGGGATGCTCTTCAAAGAAGGTTGGTTAGAGGAGAAAGAACTGCTTTGCTGGTTTGCTAGACTTTCAGATCTAGGTTCAAATGTAGGTGCCGTTCAACTACAGCGTCTTGCCAGTCACAGTGGCAACAGGAAATGCAGCACTAATCTGCAAACCTTTCTTCACTGATGCACGGTCTTGCTAAGCATCTGCAAGACACCACGGAAAAGCCACGAGAGCAGCTATCTGGTGATTTGTCTCTTGAGATAATGAAAAAGTCTTCAACATTCGGCATCAGATGGTTGATGTGTTGTGGTCGCAAAGAAAAATTCCCCAGAGGCACTAGGCCAGCGCTCCTGGCCTACTGGCAAATCAGCATCTAAGAAGAAAAAGAAAAAAAAGCAAAACCGTCAAACAAAAATAACTCAAGTCAGATAAAGCGTTTAGCTGAGGACTGATGCATAGAAACTGTCTGTATTATTCTTTCTGTAAAAGGATTAGGGTGTCATATGTCTCCAACGCTCATATTTATCATACTTCATACCTTCATACTCTGCTCCTTTCTCAGTGGAACAATACTAATCTGACTCTAGGATCACCTTTCACCTGTTACACCTTAAAGAGGAATTTATGATTATTCTGCATAATTCAGTTATGGAATTATGAGCGGTTTGAACTTACAGCCATTTTATTTACTATTAGTGAAGCTACACGTCTTGAATTTTTGTATGTAATGTAATGTAATATAAAATACTGGTAAATCTGAAAAAAATGTCCCTTGAATACAGTTTTGAATGGATTTTTATACATATATTTTATATATATATATATATACATATATTATATATATATCAGGCCTAAATCCTGTCTCACAACTGTCGTAAAACAATGTCTCAGGCATCAGGCAGTGTATTCATAACCATTTCATCCAGATTTTAGAGGGATTCAACACTTGGTTCCCATCTGGGTTCCATCACCACCACAGTAAACAATTCTAACCCTGTACATTTCTCCAGAATGATGCGTCTCACTTCAAACCACTCTGAATGACTGAAAAAAAGGTCAAATTCTTCAATAACTACAATTTACTTGGTCCTGGTTCAGCACTCTCTGGTTAAAAATAGACCCACTGCTTGGAAAGTTCAAACAAAGTGGCATTTAAAAGTGCCACCTCTGTTGTTCATTCTCGTTGTTGCACATTATTAGAGCGCTAAGCTTCTATATTCTGTATTTATTTAGGAGAAAGAGCCTTGTGTAACATCCATCCAAGTTAAGGGTCTTTTTACTAAAACAGAAAACATGTTTAACAGAAAATTAAACAGATGCCTCAACAACTAAATATAAAATCACATTTTGCAGCAGTTCAGTTCAAGTTAGATTCTGCTTCTCATAATCCAAGGAAACCCAAACACATTAAATGATGCTGAGTTCTGGGCTCTGGAGAGGCCAGTCCATTATTCTGAGAACACCAGCAGCTTTTATCACTCAAAGATGAAAGCTACAAATACTGTTTTTTTCTGAGAGGGACAATTGTGGCGGTCTACCAGGCCTTGCATGATTGTTGAGAGTCTCGTTTTCGTATCTTTTAGTACTTTTTTGAACTCCAGTTTTGCAAACTCATTTTTTTCCACCTAATTTTCTTTTGATAGTCCCCTTCCGTATATCTTACGTCTAATCTCCTGTCTTTAATTAAACCTTTTGCTTAATGGCTATTTTGACTGGAAATTAAAGAAGTGTGGTCTCTGACGTCTGCACAACACTGTGCCTTCAATGAAGTTTGTCCTGGACACCTACTGTAGTTATCTGTGTTTTTTAAAGTTTATGTCTGTCTTCATTAGCTTTGTCAGCTTCGCTGTAGCCTACCTACTTCAGTGGGAGAACAACTGGCAGTTTAGCGATTACATTTTTTGAGTAACTTTAGTAACACTGGCTCATATTTAACAAACATCTGAGAGTAAGAAAGCTGATCTGGAATGCCTTATAACAGAATCTGAGGAGATCTCAGAAATGGGCCATTGACTATATTTGCATTTACTGGTATCTCAGAAATAACCACTGTTTGAAGCCCCTGAAAAATCATTTGAGAGTTGTAATTGCGTTTAAAGGGGACACTGACAAAGTATGGATCTCAGTGACAAGTCCAAGGATTCACCAAAAAAAAAAATTGTTGGGTGGATTTTCACCTACAGGCAGTGTTGAGGTTTAGTCTGCAAGTGAAAGACTTATACAGAACTGAAACATGTGAATACAGATCAGTCACAGCTCAACATGAGACAGCAGCTCAGTTGAGCTGGCCTGCACTTGGTCATAAGATCATGTTCACAAAAATCAGGTTCAGATGCTGTAAATGCATGAACACTGTCAAAAATATTGCAAACCTTTAAAAAATAGTGCTAATAGCTGGCCAGTGACATGGTACTACTTATGACGTAAAGGTACAGCAGCCTACTATGAAATGTCTGCTCTGGATTATCATTCGTTTATGTAACTCAGCTAACATTCCCGTCTATTGTGTGACTATGTTGTAGCAAGAAGGCCATGTAAAAATGGCATTGAATGGAGTTAGAAAAGTAATACTGACTATGTACCCTGAAATACTGAGATGTCAGAGCATTTATTTGATTATATTCCTCACCCTTCTGCTTGCTAGTTGTTATTGACAGTTTATCATCACATTATCTCTATTCAAATGCAAAACACTTCATCTAATTAGGAGCACAGATGAGCATGTACAAAAGGGAATGCTTCCATTGCCCCCCTTCCACCACAGCAACCCTGCTACTGTGCTACTGTGAAAATATTTACTTAAGTCCTGCCGGCCACATTGGAAGCTCCGCCTTTATTTCCCTTTCCCTAGATCTTCAAAGACACGCCGGCTCCTGGAGCTGGACAGACTGGCCAGCTCAACCTGCCCAGGAGAAAGAGCACAGAGAGCAAGGCCCCATCCTGCAGCGAGAGACCTCTCACCCTCTTCCGCACCCCCACGCATTCGGAGAAGGACAAAGGTGGGGAGCTTTTAAAAAAAACATATCATCATTCTCAAAACAAAGCCTCACATCTCCAAAGTGGAAACATTTTAATGTGCCATGTTCGTATATCTGTAATATTGACTGCCTTTTATTTCTTGAGAAGCCAAAATAAGACACATGCAGCTCCTATAAGATGCTGAGAAATTAGTCGATGCTTTCATAACTACTTGATTAGACTACTACAGGCTGGTTGCCCTGCTGTCTCTCTAAAATGACTCCAGCTAGTTCAGAATGCAGAAGGATGAGAGACTGAGCATGCTACTCTGGTGTTATTTAGTCTACTCTGACTTGCTGTTAAGTTTTGCCTTAACTATAAGGTCTAACTTAGGACATTTACAGCTCTGAATGGTCTAGTTCTAGCATATCCGACTGATCTGTTGTTGATTATAGCCCATCCACTTCACTCAGCTGAGGCAGGCTTACTGCAAACTCTTAGGATCTCTTACAGATCTTCGCCTCTTCACCTGTAGTCTGTAATTGTGCTGTTATTTTTTCTTTAGTCTGTCATGTTTGACTTTTATTCCTGTGTAAAGTACTTCGAGATTTTGTATCTCATTGTAACTTCAATGAGATTTTTTTACAAGTAATTTTGTACCATTCATTATGAAAAGTGCAAACAGTTTAAAGGGCAACTGGCTTTGATTTTGATATGACAAGGTTTCACTATGACAGTGATGATGAACAGTCCTTATATCTTAGAGATGACATGTTTTTTTGAAATGTTATAATGAGTGATAATAATATAAAAATCTGAGCGCTACTGAAAACAATCATCTATGTTATTATTCTAGTCTTAGGTCCACCTATCTTATATAGGTCCACTAGGTGTATAATTACAGACTGTAGCTGGTTGTTATCCATCCTATACCCCATTGGTCAGTTTCTGACTACAGGACCAGATATTATTTGGGTGATGTAGCATTTTCAGCACAGCAGTGATGCTATGGTCATGATATCAGGCACAACAACCCTTCCCTTGTAGCTCCACCCTGCTGGTGGCCTGCTGTAGCCCATCTGTTGATGCACAGTTTGGGTTAGTCATCCTCTAGCCCTTTTATCAGTGGTCGGTTTCTGACCACAGAGCTGCTCTTGGCTGGATCTTTTTGGGTGGGCTCAACCTACACTGATGTGTATAATCTGCCCAGAAATGCCACAGTGCCTGATACACTCATATAAGCACCACACACACAACCATGCTATTGCCATGTCAGTGTCACTGCTGTGCTGGGAATGGGCCATCTTCAAGCAGTGACAGAATCAGGGACAGCTCCGGCGTCTCTAAAATGAGTACTGGTCTGCGCATACATGAATTTGATTCACTGCTTCCTGCTGTCATAGCTGCTGTTATGTTATGGCAGAAATAGCAGTTTGCTGCAGTCGCTAAAACGTGATGTAGGGGTGCGGGAAAAAATCGTTTCTTAGATGCATCGCGATGCAGACGTGGACGATTCTGAATCGATTCAGAAAAACAATTTTCTAAATATTTAATTTATAACGTAATGTTGACGGAACGCAAAGGACGGAACTTGGAAGTGCGGAAGTGCAGCGCCCGGACAGTCTGTGGCGGCACATAACAAAAACAAAACTGGATGAGGGAGAAATCCGACTGGCATCCTGTACATTAAAAGCCAGGTTAGGTCAGGAGTCACAACACAAATGTTAAGAAGAGCCATTTTGTCCTTTCAACAAAAATCAAACCACCTTGGGAGCCGCAACATTTAATGTCCAGTATGTCTCAGTATGTGTTAATGTCCTAGTTTAGGCTAAACAATATAAACGAAAACACAGACTTACTCTGTTCTGCTTTAAGATTTAGCTCAGCTACAGCCGCTTTTCTTCCATCTCCACCAAAAAACTTTTCCTCAAAAGTTGGATAGTTTCTTGTAAAATGTCTCTCAGCTTTCCTTCAAGTCCCTTCTCATTCGCCAGCTTCTTGCTGAACTTTCCCGTTCCACCTTAAATTCTGACTGAGACACCGAATGTAATTGCAGCACCATTTAAGGTGGAACGGGAAAATTAGAAAGAGAAGCGACTTCATCTTCACAACTTTTTACTGTTTGACAGTCTCTCGTTGGAGATTTAACGTACCAGGAAACCAACTGCGCTGCTTATAAATGCAAATAAGTCCATTAGTCTCCAAATGTTCGTCTGTCCTTCTCTTTTCCTTTTTCGTTCGCTACTAGCTCGGCGAAACCTCGTTGCTAGGTGACCTGCAGTCTTTCCCCTCTCTATCACGAGACCAAAACCGAAGTTATAAAATTACTAAAGAATATATAATGTGCTACGTGGACATCCATCACCACTGGATCTTATTTCACCGCAACAGCACATTTTATCGCTGATGAGTGGCAGCAGCGTCTCAAACAAGAGCAGTGAATGAGAGCCTTCTAGTTCACTTGCCAAATCACTTCCATTTGTTTTATTAATAAAAGATATTGGACGTAAATGCATTATGGATCATTACAAATACTTAGCTTTAAAAGTACTAAGTCCTCAGACAGTAAGAAAATAGAAATCCTGTATAGAGAAAAAAGATGCATCAAAATGCATCGATAATCGTTTTATAATCGCATCGCAGCCCTGTGAATCGTAATCGAATCGTGAGGTGCCTAAAGATTCCCACCCCTAACATGATGTATAAGTAATTTAATTTGACGTTTCTTAATCCAGCACCCCTGCGACCCAGAAGGATAAGCGGTTTAGATGATGTGTGTATGTATGTATGTGTGTGTGTGTGTGTGTGTGTGTGTGTGTGTGTGTCAAATTGGAATTTGATTGACACTGAATGCACTATTTCTTCAGCGGGTTTAACTCAAAGTGCTCGAGACACTTGTTAACTTTAAATTTTTCCAATTTTCTGAAAACAGAACTTCACTGTTGTGTTAGAGCAGTTGCTTAGAGACTTTTTGTTTCCATGGCTGTGGCGATAACATAGATATATTTCAGGTTGCCATAGCCTTCCCTCCAGCCGCTGATGCTAAAAGTTCATAGTATATGCTCAGCAGTTGCCATATGGTGGTCCCTTTCCACTGATGGGTCCAACAACTGAGGAGACAGGGAAGCTTTTCCTTTAGTGGACCTAGTACGCGTTATGAAAGTATTGATAAACACTTTTAATTGTCTATTTCCTTCATTTTTAGTGTTTATTAGTGATTATTACATCCAATGTTTGCTATGTTTTTACTAAAAATATTTTTTACAGTGTGCAATGCAGTTCTTACATACCTACTATTCATCATAAGAAGGCTTTATTCTTGGGAGTTATTCCTATTATTTTTGGAAAACTTGGATGTTATTTAATCTAGACTTGGATATTCAAAGGCCTCCAGAACTTTTGCCCATTTTAGCTGTGGCTAAGTCATATCACACCTGCACTCATTAGTCGTCGTTACTTACAATTTATTTCCCAACAGCGGCAGTGGAGAAGTGCAACAGCGTGGTCCTGAACTCCAGTTCAGAATCACAGTCAGCATCACTCAACTGCAATAGCACTCACAACTGGAGCAAGCTCAATAACCTGACCAGCGCAGACGGAGACCAAGAAGGGCTTCTTGTGGCAAGACCTAGCCGCCCCAATGCACTGTAAGTACACACATGCCCTCTTTCGCAGTTGCTAGTGTTTCCCTCTGTCATATTTTCCTTAAACCTTTTCTCTCTCAATTCTCTTCCCTGGTAAGAGGAATGAGAGAGAGAGAGATGCCGCTCTATTTGCTGCTATTAGTGGAGTCTCTCGTTCTCTGTGTGTGCGTGTCTCTCTCTCTCTACGCCGGGCACAGATGGGATTGGTAATGGATTTTTGAACTAATATGTGAACGCCATTGTGAGCACTCTCAATTCTCAGCCATTAGTGCAAGAGAAGGACATGGCCATGGGATGTAGTGGGGTGGTTTTTGTACAGTGGGGTTGTTGTGATCTTGCAAGCTTGTAGTGTTTTGCTGATGTAGCTACAACCTTGCAGTAGCCCGTTTTGAAAAACAAAATTACCTTAATTTTGGCGTGTTTTTCATTGATTGTGGGGAAAACAGCACAAGCATAGTGGCCTTAGAAACAGTTTTCAGGTCAGTTAATTTTATTGCATTGAGAAAGACTGAAAAGGTTTTGCAATAAACCATGAACGATGCATTCAATTTTAGTCACTTCCGTCATTTTTAGTTATTTTTATTCATTTTAGTCATCAGATTTTACACAATGTCCATTTCAACACCACATGTAAAGGAATAGGGTGTGTCATCAAACAGTGTAAGTGATGGAGATTTTATTTCAGTGTCTTATATTAGTTATGGCCCTCTCTTTGCTTTGAAGTTCTATCACAGGAGCGGAAATTATAGCACCCAATGCATTCTCTCAATTTCCTGTGAGCGTTTCTATTGTTGACTCTTGAATTGCATCTGCTTTGAGCCTGCTTGCTGGCGTGCCCCAGGGGGCAATACTGGGTCCCCTTTCTTTTTTTCTTTTTTTTTTGTTTCCACTATCGGCTTGGGCACACTCATATTTCACATTATTTTAAAAGCGCACAATGAGATAAAGCGCATCGGGTAATGATCAAAAACTGTAATTACTGTAAACACATGAAAAGCAGGGAATAAAGGGAGTGTTGGATGACTCGGACATTTTCTTGGAAAACTATCACTGAAACATTTCCTTCCCTTCTCATCATACACAGAGCTATTAATCAGGCTCCAGGGCAAGCTGAATCATGCTCCCTCCTTCCCTGTCTCTCTCTCGATCCACACCACTCTCCTTTCCTTTATGCAAGCCTTACAAATAGTAGCCACCACGCCAGGTTCAACAGGATACTTAAGGCCAAGGTTATGTAAATGATAGGATAAGCTCAGGCCAAACAATATGGAACTGTTCTGAAGAAAAAATTAAGGCATCAGTAACACTGAACTGATTTCAGTTGATGTTTTGAGTCAGAAGTTGTACTACAAAATATAGATTACGTATATTATGTAGATGAAGCTAATTAATACAATACACTATGTCTTGGTTCAGGATATCTAAGGCTATGTTCACACTACAGGTAGAAGTGGCCCAAAGTGGCCTAACTCCAATTTTTTGTTTTTTGTTGTTCATATCTTTTTAATGTGACTGTTTCAGTTCTTTTTTGGGACACTTTCATATGTGGTACTGATATCTGATATGTATCCGATATTTGCAATTGCAACCTCAGTCTGAACAGTCAGATCTGAATTCATGCAGTTTTTACATCAATCAAACTGAGTCTACCTCGTAATTTTGTGCTGGTGTGAGAGACCCCTTACAGCAATGTCTGCAAAATGCCTGTTACTGTGGTTATGCTTTGCATTTTCCGTTATGGAGGTTGAGCAAGACAAGTGCGGGCAATGTAAACAAAGAAACATTGTACTGTCTGATGGGAAAAATCAAGGAATCAAAGAATTTGCATTGAATTTGCTTCTCTTTGCTAGTGTTGTTGGCAAATGAAAGAAACCAGAAACAATAGTAAACAGAAGAAACTGAACTTTCTCTCTGTGTTCAGTGTACTTCCACAAAAATCTAATCCCTTTTCCTGAATACATGTCCTCCAAGTTCACTCTTCCAATGCGCTCGTAGTCACATGATTTATCCACCCTGGGAAGGGGCACAACTGATGTTACAAATTCTTCTTTTTCACATTGCGTGCAATTACACATTTTCACCAGAGAGGCCTCCAAATCCCCAAATCTTACATAGAGTGGCTTTAATTTTAGTTGGGATATCAGAATATCAGATATCAGAATCATATCAGTATTGGCAGATATTTGGTTAAAAAAGTATCTGCATTGCCTAGAAATTTATATTTTCATCTCGAATTCTACACAAAAACATCAGATACCGGCAATGGCCCGCAATGCCCATCCCTAAATGTTAGTTGTGGTGCAGCACTTATGTAAAATAAGATCAGTTTTCATGACTCATAAGCACACTAGTGACTGATTTATTGACTGTTTGTTAGGAAATAGCTGGTTGCCTCTAGCAGAAACAGCAAGAAGAGCAAAGAATTCTCAAATGTGAACTTTGTGCTTTGAAGCCAGTTTTTGTTTTAGTTCAAGAAAAGCCAATATTGGTAGCTCGACTCAAGCTTTGCTCCAGAGACTGTGCTCACTGTTGAGCAGCAAAATGCAGTTTAGCACGCAGCGCTAGCCTCAGCTTTGCGGAGTGGAGGTGAGCCACAGAGCAGCCAGAGGAGCGAGATTAATGACGTTGTACATATTAAGCTTGGCAGGTCTGATACAGCCATCTCCAAAAAGCCTGCTCTGGTCCGGCAGGCTATAATTCAGCCATGCAACTGATTGATCACCTAAGAAAACATACGATCAATTCAAGCACCGCAGCCAAAGCAGCTTTCAGATGCAATCAAGAGCGAGAGTCTGTTGCTAAGGAAAGTGCTGGGGGCAAAGGGTAAGTGTTAGCAGTTACAATCTTGTCAGGTCAAAATCATGGTGGAAGGGACGGCTGAGAGGTTTGATTCAGAGAACATTAGGTGACCATTAATGCATTGTTTGAATTCTTTTTTTAATTGCAGTATGCAGTGAATAACAATTATGGACTAATACAGGCTAAATCTGGAACGAGCACGTCTATTTATGAATTCATCTCCGCATCAAATGGCTAGGAATTGAAAATGTTAAGTAATAACGCAAATGCAACCCCTATTATTAAGCTGGCCAAGCAGAGCCATGAATTACATGTTGCTTTAGCTCGGCACGTGAGGTCGGGTCGTTCCCATGACAACTTCACAGCGGAGGATCATTGCCTCCCAGGGTGGATGTGATGGCTGCGTGAGCACAAATTCCACAGAGTACCGTAGTATACACAAGGACTTCATTAGATCTTGTGCAGAAATGAGGTAGCCGCCTCTGTTGATGTTATCATCTCTAAGTGGCATAATTAATTGGCAAGTCATCTCTTCACGTGTTTTATTTAAACACGCAAGAATAGTACGTGAAATGGCTGCTATAGCGTCTATTTCACAGCCTGTTTGTATTTTAAATAGAACCTTGATATCACCTAAGAATTCAGGACCCGCTCCAGTCTTCCATGGCGTCAAACGGTGGTGCTGGAGCTTCTTAGCAAGTGAATAGAGATAATTATAGAGCTAGAAAAGGCTCTTTGTTCATGTTATTTCTGGTGGTACTGCAGAACAGACAACTGGATTTAACAATGATTGTCATTTCTGTCTGTTTGTGTCATGTCCACAACCTGTGTCACTGTGTTAACTGATTACTGTGTAACAGTAGAGCCTTTAAAGCTTCAGTGTAGCAGACTCCCTTCGCTCAAAAATGAAACTCCATTTGGATGTTCTTTTATGATTTAGATTTGTTACCTGCTTAATATGTTTTCATTTTAAACAGAGAGTTTTTATGTTTTTGTATAGATATAACTGGTGAGGTGCTACTTATCATTTTTCAATTTTTTATTTTTTTAGATTTCTCCTCTCAGTTATAGGGGGGGCAGTAATAGGGCTGTAAATTTTTGTGCAAAATTTCTATTTATTGCTGAGTTTAACACATTGGAAAAAATGAAACAGAATATAAAATGTGCTGTAACTTTTTCAAAGGCCACATTGCATGTTTTCTTATTTTCCAACATGTTAAATTCACAAGGAAACAGCAATTGTGCATTGAAATATTATCCATTGCACTTCCAGCCAATGCTTAGCTAATTTTTTTGATATCACAAATTAGACTTGAACCTACAATGGCCAAGTGCACTAAAATGCTACAATCAACAGTAACAATGTGGTACATGTAAACTTTTTTGGTGGGACAATGTGTTTGCATAGTCATGCATATTCATTTTTTACCGTTACAAGTGATGTGTTGAATAATAAACTGAATCACTGAGTGATTTATTTTTTAACACATAATTTGTACCAGTTTAAATGACACCTTTAGGGTTACTGTAAGTCCTCTGTCCTCATCTGTCATGTTACCTGCTTTGAGACGCTGGAGAACACACTCTATTCTGTTTTCATTCTTATATTAATTATACATACAGTACTGGACAAAAGTCTTAGGCAGCCATGAAAATAGTCTGAAACTAGTGTTTTTGCCAGTAAAAGCACTGTAAAATATTGGAATGACTACAAATAAACATAAATAGAGTCAAATGTTTCCTTTTAAGAATTTCAAGAAAATAAGAATTTCAAAAAAAGATATCTTTATTAATATCTTGGTTAGAAGACCACAGGTTTGGTTGCTGACTTCTTGCTGTTCTCTAATCATTGAATGGATTTGTTCAATTCTGTTAGCAGCACCTGATTTAGTTGAATGAAGAATTGATTGGCTTAATCATGTTTTGGATGGGAACTGTAAATAACTGGACTTCCTCGAGGAGAGATTTGGCAATGGTTTAGCCAACACACTCATTAAAAGATACAGGATGTAACTGCCCAGATAAATGTCTTTGCATTTTTTCAGAAGACGTTAGCAAAGCTGTACATTGCGTTTATAAACATCCGCACACTTTGAATCTTTAACAAACCCATTCTTTTCTATTGCAGGCAGAATCCCAAGGGCCGTGGCAGTATTTCAACAAGGTAAGACCGAGTGCTAGACCAACCAAACAGTAGCATTCCTGTTAGACCACCTGAGGGTAGATTGTTCAATTTCCTGACTGTTACGGTCTATGAAGCTTTTAGACTGCTTGTCAAACAGGTAACAATTTGCTAGTTTTTTATTTTTAGATATTGACACATGTCAAAACAAATGTATGATCGAGGTTTTCACAGCTTTGTGCCTGCAGTTCAAAATGATAACATCAGAGTCTTTAGACAGAATGAATGGGAGTTAAACTGAACTGGTAATATAATCATCAGTATTGAAGTAATTTTACTCTTTAGTAGGTTGTCACTCAAACCAGTTTATAAACTAGGCTTTATCCACGCTTAAGAGAAGTTAATTATAATGAGGTTATTTGTAGAACACATGTTTTTCCACATTACTCTGGCTGAGAATGCTATTCTTACCTTTTCACAGTATGCTAATGGAATGTCTGTTAAACAACAAACCTACATGCATGGATTGCCAATATTCACACTTACTAACCTTAAAACTACAGTGTCCTAAAGCATCTTCACTGCTTTCCTCTGAGAATGCATGTACTTTTCTTGAGCACTATATAATCACCAACCACTTTATTAGAAACACATACTATACACATCACTCACTGGCCACTTTATGAGCTCCACTTGTCTTATATATCTACTATGTATAAGTACAATTACAGACTGTCATCATTCCCAATTAATCCACCACCCTCAACCACTTCATCATTGGTCAGTTTCTGATCACAAGGCCAATGTTGACCATATACACTGCTATAATGATAGTGTGTGTGATGTTGGTAAGAGTGATTCATGCTTTTACACGCATCAGTGTCACTGCTAGGTTACGAGCGGTCCACCACACAAAGGCATCAAGCCAAGTGTGCCTCTGTGGTCAGAAAGTGACCACTGATGTACTACTGGATAGATGACACAAATTGTGCATTTACAGAAGGGCTCCAGTCTCTAACTATACATCAGCAAGGAGGAGATACAATGTACAACACTTTGCAAAAGTCAGAGACCACCCTTCGTTTATTTTATTTCTAGTCAAACCAACCATTAAGTATAAGATATTTCTAAGGAGATAAGACAATCTGCTCCTGAGGAAGGGGAATGTCAGGAAATTAAGCGATAAAAACAGGAGTTTCCAAAACTGGAGTTAAAAACAAATAAAAGAAACAGAGAAAATGGAACTCTTAACAACCATGCAAGACCTGATAGACCACTGTAAGAAAACAACTCAGCACTATGGGTCTGAAAGGATGTGCAGCTATCAGGAAGCTGTTAATGAGAAAAGGAAATACATTTGCAAATCAAACAAAGAAGCTCCTGGTGTTCTCAGAACAATGGACTGACCACCCCAGAGTCCAGACCTAAGCTTCACTGAATGTGTTTGGGATTACTTAAATAAAGAGAAGCAGAAAATGTAACCAGCTTCTAAGAACTTTGGAGGTGTTGAAAAATATCCCTGCACATTTCTTTGAAAAACTGAAAGCAAGTTTCTTGAGAAGAATGGAAGCTGTAATAAAGGCAACATGTGGACACACTAAATGCTGAAAAGTTTATTATAATTAGATGTTCTGTCTTCTGTGTAATTTTCTGTTAAAGATATGTTTTGACACTTAGTGGCAATTTTGACTAGAAATTAACTGATCAAAGGGTGGTCTCTGAGTTTTGCAGAGTCCTGTAGATGTTTGTAATTAAGTGGCCAGTGAGTGTATATCCATGATACAAGGTTCTCAGGAAGCACAGTAAAACCTCTTTCTCTCAGCAGCTTCTATTAACCTGTATGTTGGCTCACTCATCACTTAGTGTCATGTTGTGTATGTGTATGCGTGTGTATATGAATCACAGCCCAGCTTCTCCCAGTCCCACCTCACCACGCTCCCCCTCCTGGCCGATGTTCTCCGCCCCCTCCAGCCCCCAGCCGGCCTCCTGTACCTCCAGTGAATCTTCCCCGCTCAGGTGTGTGTTTTTGCTGGGGCCCCTTTCATTTTCTGTTTTTTTTTTTCCGCCAGTGCTTTGTAGTGGCAGCTTAACCTCTCTCACACCTTTTGCCCAAACCTACCTGTGTGTATTAACCGCTAGGGACCAGGAGGTATTACTGTCATTGTAATGTATTATTTATATGCATTGATGTTATCACATAAGTAATTAGTAGAGCCTGACAGGTATATTAATTAGGTAATAATATCAGCTGATACTGACCAACTGTAAACTGTGTTTTAGCAGTATTAGAGAGCAAACATTGTTGATTGTTGATTGAAATCGGCTCAAACTAACAGTCTCCTGCTGATAGGGTAAAAGTAGGCTCTGTAAGAATAATCCTCTGTTTAGCTACTTGACAGCAGTACAAGCTGAACTGCTGACATTAAGCACAAAATACTATCACGAAATAACAAAAACATGTAAAATGTATCACTATCCAAAAAAAGCAAGTGACATTTTTGTCACGTATTATTTTTCTACATCATTTGAAAACAGCACTACTACTACTGTTTTGTAAATTGTGTGAAAGTTTTATGATGGACAGACCAATAGAAATGCTCCAACATCAGTTAGAAAAACACCTTTTTGCATGAACTTGCTTATAAACATCTTTGGAAAGTTTTAGCATCTCTAAACTTACTATTTTGGACATACGCTTATTTTGTATGAAGAAAAATAAAAAAATAAGAGATAATCAACAGAAACCTAAATGCTGCGTAGCTCCACCCCCCAGAGCTACATTATTTATATTATTTAAGATATTGTGCGAGTGTTTATTTGAATTTACGAAAAGGTAACAATTGTGATCGAACTGTCATGTCACTGGAGTATAAAATTAAAGTCTAAAATATAAACATAAAAATTATACTGGCTGATATAATGAATTGGTCATTGGAATATTTAGCCCCCTTAAAGCTGGATCTGTATCAGCCACAGCAGTTTCATATCCGTTGGGCTCTACTAATTACAGTTACATTATTCATTCTGTTTGCATTCTGACTTATATTCTGTAGCGAGAAATGACAAACTGTGAAGGCTGTTTTTTCTTCCCACAGAACAAAACTATCCACAATTCATCAAACTTTTCATCAAATTCACTTGATACTAAAATGTCCCATTTTCTACTTATGAACAGAAATGTGGTATAAAATCTGCATTTTTAAAAGGTTTTCTCATATTGCCTTGATTAGTGATGCCCTAGCTTCTATATCCTTTAAGTAGTTTGTGGAGATTTAGCTACTTTTTCTCAGATTCAGTGGTTTGGATAAGCTCTTATGCGTCCCAGGGCTGCTATTGTGGAAAATTAAGTCATGATAGTTTCCACAAACTAAATAGAGTCGTCCGTGCCAGAGGACAGCGTGTGCTTTCATCAAGCACTGCGGCTTTGAGACCCAACTGCACATGATCTCTCTTTTTCTCCATGTACCCAGCCCCCCTCTGCGGAAGGCCCGTGCTCTGTACGCTTGCAAAGCTGAACATGACTCAGAGCTGTCTTTCATCGCAGGGACTATATTTGAGAACGGTGAGTGCCCCTGCAAGACTGCCTGTCAGTCCACCTCTCGTCTGAACGCCAGACTCTAGACTTGATTCATTTTGCTTACGGCCTATAGATGTTCAGTAAAAACCCTCACCACTACGTCATCCATACGGCCTTGCAGCAGTGTGTCCGCCTCTGTCCCTGTGTGGAAGAGGTAGGACGTTGGTCTTGAACTTTTCGGCCATTTAATTTAGTTGGACGCTGGAAGAGCAGTGGGCAGGATGAGTGTCCTCGTAAAGCCCTCTGTTGCTGCATTTAAGACCATTGGCTTATTAACAGTGTGGTACTTTGACACGATTTGGCAGCGCTTGCGGTTCAGAAGCTTGGTTTGCCAAACAAACATGACAGTAAAGCTGTAACTGAAATGGAGTGCTTGTGTAGTGCGCTAGCCACGTTTATTGCTAGTAATGTGATCACAATGGGAACTTAACAAGATATATGAGCAGTTTTTATGCCCATTTATCAAGGCTGATAGTAAATACTGTCTTGCTGATTGAGTGCCTGTGAAAAGCTTGTCTTACTATTAGCACTAACGTAGCGGCTATTGATGTTGCTCAGAGAGGCTCATCCTGCAAAATTGCTGCCCTTTTTCACATGGTCAGATGTGTTAACTGTTGGTTTTTTACCCTGTTTCTGACAGCAGTATGCCAGATTTTGCCTTATGTTTGGCCTCTCGAAAATTTGAATTACTGTGACTAAAAAGTCAGTTATTTTCTCATCATTATGCATCATTATTTTGGGAAAATAACTCACTATTTAGTCACAATAATAATATTAAATAATTTGACTTTTTTTTAGTGTAATAACGCATTCTTTCAACATAGCATGTCAAAATCTTGAGAAAATGGGTCATTATTTTGTCTTACCAAGTCAAAATATTGAAAGAAAATCAGCATTTTGACAGGAAACGTCCATCAGTCAACATATGGATGTACACCTACCAAAAACAAACAGGAAAACAACGTGAATGACGTGAGCAAAAACGTTTCAAACTGCTCTGGTCATATGTTAACTAGGAAGCTGAGCCTGCGTCTTCGCTTAAACCTTGGTGAAAAACCTACTATATTGGCCATGCCTGCAACTTGACCGTTGTGATTAGCACTTCTTTTAGTAAATCTGCCCCAATGTGTATTGTGAGGAGTGGATGATGTATTAGAGCCATCAAAAAAGTGTGGAAGACTGCACACTGCACTGAGCAGCTGTAGCTTGCTATATTTAGCAGAAGGGGAGGAGCCATCTGAGGAAACTGCAGTTTGAAATGGATAAAATTTGCCATGAAGTTGAAGAGCATAATTAGGATGAAATGTTTTGATTTGTAAATTTTATGGAGGCTAATCCATTCCACACCATAGCTTGTCATTTCCATTTAGTGTTATGCAGTAGTGTTTGATTTGAGATAATATTAGCCTACAAAAATACACCAGCTAGATAGTGAAATACACAGTGCGCAGTGTAAGAATACAGTGCTCACTTCCAGTGCTCTATAGTAACACAGTTCACTGCAATGTAGATAGCTTTGAATACCACGCGATATAATGCAGAACTCGGGGCACGTGGTACTGAGACTACATTGTTTGTTCTCCCCACACAGTGATGGAGTTCACGTGGATATAGAAGTTAGCTAAAAAAAGTGCTCTTTAATTGCTGACTCAAAAGATTGTTGTTGTTGTCTGTCCGAGTGCCAGAGGTAGTCTGAGGTTCATTCCATTCACACTATGTGGAGTGAGCTATACATTAGTTCAGCACAGCTCACCTCAGCAACGCCACTGTATATTGACTCTGTATTTAACTATGTAGGTCAACTGAGGACTGACGATCATCCCCAGTGACAGCATGGCCAAGAGGCACACGACGATGTAGATGGGACTATTAGAAACATGAAAACACACAGGGGCTTGTTCAGAAATGTGTTTGTTTTTCTAAAAATGACATCACAGGAATAATTAAAGGAACCAAAATCAATTATTCATATGTTTCTGTTGTAATTATTCATCTTTTATGATATATTAACTAAGAGATAAAATAGTAAAGTTTAATAATTTAATAATAAAGTTTACAAAACTGGAGTTTAAATTGCTTTAAAAAAGGAAGAATTGGACTCCTAACAACCGTGCAAGACCTGCTAGACCATCAAAACTGTCACCATCAGATAAACAGTACTTAAAGCTTTCATCTTTGAGAGACAGGAGAAAATCAAGCTCCATCCTTGCTTCAGACCTGAAAAAATCTGTGTTTTTGTCCATCTTTATACTGTGAGAACTATGAGATAACTTAATACAATGAGTCAGAAAAGATGTGCAGCTGTCAAGAAGCTTTTAATGAGAAAGAAAATAGACAAAAAATGTAAATAGAAAATGTAAGCTGTTGTTTATGAATGTAAGTGTTCTCAGAACAATTGACTGGCCAGACCTCGGTATCACTGAATGTGTTTGGGATTACTTGGAGAAAATAGAATCAACTTCTAAGACTGAACTTTGGAGGAGTAGAAAAGTAACCCTGCAGATTTCTTTGACAGACTGAAAGCAGGTCTCCTCAAAAGAATAGAGGCTGTAATAAATGCAAATGGTGGACGCACTACACTATACACTACTGTATGTATATAATATATATATATATATATATATATATATATATATATATACACTGCCTGGCCAAAAAAAAGGTCACTACCTGGATTTAATTTTCGCAATTAGGTAAGAGCCCCCCATTGGATAATTACTGCATGGGTGATTATGTTTCAGCTGGCAACAAGTTATTTAACCCTAACTGATGCAGTGAGTAGCTTCTCATTTGTTAAACAACCATGTCGAAAGACACATCCTGTGGTCATGGAAAAGATGTTAATCTGTTTCAGAAGGGTCAAATTATTGGCATACATCAAGCAGAGAAAACATCTAAGGAGAAACTACTAAAATCGGGTTAAGAACTGTCCAACACATTATTAAAAAGGGGAAAGACAGTGGGGAAACATCATCTTCGAGGAAGGAATGTGGTCGGAAAAAAATCTTGAATGATCGTGATCGGCGATCACTTAAACGTTTGGTGAAATCAAATCGTAGAAAAACACCAGTAGAGCTCAGGGGTATGTTTCATAGTGAAAGTAAGAGCATTTCCACACGAACAATGCAAAGGGAACTCAAGGGATTGGGACTAAACAGCTGTGTAGCCTTAAGAAAACCACTTATCAGTGAGGCTAACCAGCAAAAACGGCTTCAATTTGCTAGGGAGCATAAAGATTGGACTATGGAAGAAGGTCATGTGGTCTGATGAGTCCAGATTTACCCTGTTCCAGAGTGATGAGCGCATCAGGGTAAGAAGAGAGGCGGCTGAAGTGATGCACCCATCATGCCTAGTGCCTACCGTACAAGCCTGTGGGGGCAGTGCTATGATCTGGGGTTGCTGCAGTTGGTCAGGTCTAGGTTCAGCAATGTTATGTGCCCAAAGAATGAGGTCAGCTGACTGCCTGAATATACTGAATGACCAGGTTATTCCATCAATGGATTTTTTCTTCCCTGATGGCACGGGCATATTCCAAGATGACAATGCCAGGATTCATCGGGCTCAAATTGTGAAAGAGTGGTTCAGGGAGCACAAGACATCATTTTCACACACGGATTGGCCACCACAGAGTCCAGACCTGAACCCCATTGAGAATCTTTGGGATGTGCTTGAGAAGACTTTGCACAGTGGTCCAAATCTCTCATCATCAATAAAAAATCTTGGGGAAAAATTAAAGCAACTCTGGACAGAAACAAATGTTGTGACATTGCAGAAGCTTGTGGAAATGATGCCACAGATCAAAGCTAAAGGCGGTCCAACTAAATATTAGAGTGTGTGACCTTTTTTTTGGCCAGGCAGTGTGTATATATATATATATACATATATGCACACACACACACACACACACACACACACTATATGCATCTGACTGTGTCTTCTTGTTTATCTCCTGTTGTAGTTCATCCATCAAGGGAACCAGGCTGGCTAGAGGGCACCTTGGATGGACGAACTGGGTTAATACCTGAGAACTATGTGGAATTTGTGTAGCTGCAGACTGGAAGATGACAAGCTACTGCAAAGACTGAAGTAAAGACGAGGAAGAACCACAAGTTTTAAAAAAAAGGCCATGAATCCCAAATCCAGAGGAAAGATGTGTGTTTGTGTGTGTGTGTGTGAGATTGATGGTGAGAATGCTTTGCCTCCTAAAATGCACTGCCACTGCCTGAAGCGTCCTCGAAAGCTGACTTATAGGAGAGCAAGTAAAAGATTGGGACCAAGTCGTCGCTGCTTCTCCCACAATCAAGGAACTGAGCTTTTTCCACGGGCTGCTTCATCACAAACAGTGGAGATTATTTTCCCCCCATGAACATTATAAATGTGAGCGCTTGCTGTTTGCCCTTGTCAGCCTGATTCTGGGACAAGACGGAAAATGCACACTGCTTCCACGCAGTCTGTGGCTTTGGGAACGTCTCCATCTTCCATCCGTCACACCTTCCCATGTGATATGTTTAGAACTACTATGAGAAAGTTGTTAATTATGAAAACAAAGACTGATTTTCGAATGTCTGAACTTGCACTCTTTTGTATTTAAGGAAGAGATATTTCAGAGTTCCTCTTCCTCTCCTTCTCTCAGCAGGTATGTAAAAGGGTAAAATGTAAAATTATTTTCAATGTGAATCTCTATGGTCATATGTAAACCGCTCTTATTTATGATGCAGTTCCTCGGTTGAGATTTGTGTTCTCCTAAAGTGTATTAACCTTGTAAATAATTGAGTCGATAAGGTATAATTTTTATGTAAAAAAAAATTATATTTTGTACTCTAGCTTACTAACTTAATTTTGTTTTCTTGGCATCACAGTTTCCCTTTTTACATTTTTAAAAAATACAATTCAATTTTGGAGCCTTAATGTTCTTTAGAATATTAAATCAGAAGATGAATCGAGATCATGGTGTTCAGGTTTTCTTTACTCAAGGCCAACAATGAAATTCCAGGAGAACGTATTTTTGAGTAGTTTATAATTTATATTTTGGCTCAAGAATTTGCATACCAGTAAAGAAGCTTCAGAGCTGTTCAGATGTTGGGGATCGTGCTGATAGCCACCACTCATCAGGGATGTTGCTAGGAACAGAACAAGGGGTGTCTCTGAAATTTGAATACTGACATTTATGCTAGAACATCTGAGGTTCGTGGGGGGCATCCGGTGGTATTTCCGCCAGGACACTTTAACATCTACAAGCACCATTCACAATCATTTGAGCCTGTCCACCCAGATCAAGTCCTCTTTTGAGAAAACATATTGAACATGTCCTTATTAGAAAGCAAGTGAATAATAATAACTATGTCAGTAGTTGCAGTGGGTTCCTAGTAATGCTTGTATGTTATCTATCGTGAAGAAAAACAGAGGCCTTTTCTTTTTGGATATAGTTTCATGAATTGGCCAGTTTGGTTATCTTTCCTAAGACCAAAGATGTTCACAAGGGGCTTCATGTGAGGACAGGTCGAGTCTTGAGTCTCTGGGGTGCGAGTGCAAGTTGTCTTTAGTGAATTTAGTGTCTTTAGTCAACATGACTTCTAATAGTGAGTCTTTCATTATTTAAAATGGAAGGATAGAAATGAAATGCTACCTGCAGTAAATACAGTGTTTAAAGGAAAGAAGCAAAACAACTTGGTCCGTAGTTTGTGTGTCAGGTATGCTGGTTAGCTGGCAAAATAGCTAACCCAGATGAAGTTTTAGGAAGGCTTAAAGGAATGTGATCTATAATTTGCTAAAACTTAAGCTAATTACCTGACATCAGCTAAATTAGCAATTGCGCTACCTAGCATACTTGCTAGCCAGACTACATGCTAGCCAACAGTTTCAATTTATTTGACTTTCCCCTTTAAACACCACATTAACTGCAGGTAACACTTCATTCTGTCCTTCATACTGAAGGCTTGTTATTTGAACTTAGGGGAAGCACCGTAGGGGGGTGGGGAGGGTTATCTGAATATATGGATATCCAAACTCATCATAGTATTTGTTTACTTCTTCAGGTATTGGAATATGACAGCATATAAGAGCTAGTTGAGGAAGAGAGCAAAGAGTTTCTAAAAAACTATGACCAAACTACACCAGTGTAGTGTTTAATTACAGTCAATGACCCTGTTTAGACTTGCCATTAAACTGCACTCCACATCTGGATGTTGTCTGTAATTACATTTGTGATCAGAACGTGTTCCGATCTAGCTGTTCTGATCACAATGTAGTTGAGCACGCCTTTTGATCAGATGTGTGTCTGCGAATAAACACAATACGCGCAGCTGTGCTACATTAACGGTCTAACGACATCACCCAAAACTTTCAGTATCGTTCCTGCCTCTCTTGTTAAATAAGTCATTTTAGGTGTCTGCATGCATGCAGGCTCACTGACACAAAAGTTGAAAAGCCCTTTGTCACCTGTGAAGGACAGTGCACAGACCTCCTTTCACAGCTGCCCACCATTTTAACCCATTTTTTTCTTCTGACTGTACATAAGTTGTGGCTGATAAGCAAACTTACATAAGTCAGTCTTTTCGTTCTGTGTAACTGTGTAAGCCTGGAATGCTCTGCGCTGCTCTGCAGGATGTTTTATAAAGCATTAAACATTGCTAAGCCATTATAGGCTCTGTCTACTCTGAACCAGTGCCACACCAGCCTGATTTGAAAGTTTAAATATTGCACTGGGAAATGCGATCCGATCAATATTTGGATGCAGAAGCTACATTAGGCACTTTAACTTATTCATCTATCATTTTTACCCAAGGCTTCTATTCCATTCAGGTTCTCCCAGCTTCTTCTTTCCTGCTTTTGTCCCAGAGTTGGAACGCAGGACTAATAAAGTTGTGTAATGCCAAAAAAACACCAGGTGGTTAACTGGCAACAGGTCAGTAACATGATCGGGTATAAAAAGAGCATTGCGGGGTGAGTCTTTTGTAAGTAAAGATGATGAGGGGCTCACCACTCTGTAAAAGACTCTGTAAAAGAATAATGTTTCTCAGCATAACGTGAAAGAACTTGGGGATTTCATCATCTACAGTACATAACATCATTAAAAGATCTAGAGAATCCAGAGAAATCTCTGTATGCAAGGAACAAGGCCAGATATCAATACTGGCTGCTGAACTGTTGAGTAGCTGAAATCCTATATCAAGCAAGAATGGGAAAACATTTCACTTTCAAAACTACAGCAGTGTCTCCTCAGTTTCCAAACACTTACAGAGTGTTGTTAAAAGAAGAGCTGATGCACCACAGTGGTAAACATTCCCCCGTCCCAACTTTTTTTAAATGTGTTGCTGTCATCAAATTCCAAATGGGCATACATTTCTCAGTTTCAACATTTGATATGTTGTATTTTTACTGTTTTCAATTAAATATTTGATTGCATCCTATTTTAATTCACATTTTGCACAGCATCCCAACTTTTTTGGAAACGTGGTTGTACCATATTTACTTGGGATGCATGATGAGATCTGATTCATGTTGGTATTAGCAGAAAAAAAAATGATCGGCATCGAACAGGTGTTTGAATTTGATATTTCAAACTGATATCTGATTATGTATTTATTGTACTCTGGAAGAGCAGAACGTTTAGTCGACGCTGATCTCGAAGTCTCTTCCGCAGGCCGATCGACCGCCTCGCCACTGCATTGTTAATTTCGTCAACTTCACTGATGTGCTAAACTTCAGCTCCTTCCCCCCTAGACCACCTCAACCACACTACTTCCATAATACCACAGAAGGTTCCCACCTCCACTCTCTTCACTGGACGATACCTGCCCTGAGGACTTTGTTTTGGCTCCTATTTTCTTGGAACCAGATTGTAGCAATTTTATGAAGATGCTGCCCTCAAAGGACCTCCTCTCCGTTGCTTGTCATCTGGACGTCCCAGCCAATCACATCCCTTACAGACTGAGATGTAAATCGTTTCTAACAACCAATCTCCAGATGATGGCCTATCCTGGTTCAAAGGCTCAGTTTATCTTGCACTCATTCAACTGCTTATCTATCATGTCTCCGTATCAAACATCCTATCTATGTTGAACGCAATCATTGCACAATCCAGTGAGGACCAGAGGGGGATCAGTTCCCCTTTTGAGTCTTGATTCCTTTTAAGGTTTCATTCTCATGCTCTGCCACTCTCAGTCTTAACATAAGAGGTTAAGACCTGGATTTCTATAAAGCAACTCTGCAACATTGTCTGTTGTAAGCAAAATATAATGAATTAAATTGAACTGCCAGCCTTTGCCTCTCTGATCTCACAACCCACAAAAGCGACACACTAATTTTCACCTTTAAGGGCAGCAATATGGGTCACCTCTTTACCTTTTCCCCCCTTTACTTGTCCACCAAGCCGTATGAGTCCTAGCTCCTTTGCCTCCCACCACTGTCTAATGACACGCCATCAGGAACAGTCAGAGCCTTCTGCTTCCCAGAGACTTGTGGATCACCTCTGTCAACTCATTGGGTCATGATCTTCTACTCTTTAGGTACTGGTATACAACACCTACATCCAGAGCTCAGAAATTTGTTTATTTAACTTTCCATTATTTGAGTGTCTGACCTTCTAATATAAAGCATAATCCACTCAGAACTCCAGCTCAGTTTGCCAGAGTTCTCTTCTCTCCTACAGTCATACAGGCTCTTCACATACTTTAACTGTATATTGAAGTTACTGACTGAACACACAAAAGAGTTATGAAGAAATGAAATAACTGACGTTTGGGCTTCAGTCTAACTTTCTGTACATTTCTGTCTCCATGTTTTGTTTCCTGTTATGAAGTTTTCACACCCCACCACTTCCCTGTCTCCTTCCTCAGTTCTCCCAGTGCTTCTGGAGGCTTGTTGGAGGTCTAGTGGTCTAAACTAGCAAACAATGGTTACACACATGATCAGGGTTAGCATAGTGGGGATGCCTTTTTGGTTACTAATACCCATAAAAGTAGTGAGAACAAATAATATAAAGTCTTTCGCTCTGAACTGTAGTTGAGGTAATATTAGCTCACCTAATGTGCAGTTAAAATAATATGTTACACACAGGTTTACCAAAAAAGGTCAAGGCTAAAGGCTGGCCAATGCCACCCTAATAGTGATGCAAGGCCACCCTCCTGGCTATCCCCCAGTCTGACGACACAGCGCACTACAACAGTGTATTAGATAAAAGGCCACTATGAATACTCGCTGCAGTGAGCTCTGTGTGGAGAGTGACAAAGTGTGATGCCAAAGTACACAAAGCGTTTAAAGATTAAGCAATCAAGCAGTCAAAAATAGCAAAAAGGTGAGTAAACACCTACAAAACATTGACGGAAGCAGCTAAGCATTCTAGCTCAGGGGGTCTCAACTCCAGTTCTAGTGCTTCAGACTATTTATGGAAGCACTGTTAGCTGCCCGTGATGAGAAGTAAAGGGTTTCTGCATTGCAACTGTAGTGATAACGTGTTCGTTTGCTTTGTGGAATTAAGCATGTGGTATTATTTTCTCAGCTTGCTTGACAAACAAGCGATAACAGTTAAATTAATGTTAGAAAATGCTGGGTTAACTGTCAGGTAACTGAATAAATGCAATGTGTCAGGAAAAAGACTTGCCCAACGGCACAACCAGGCATACCGAGTCAGTCATGGCATTTGAACCCACAACCTTCCAGTTGATGGCTCACTTCTCCTGCCACTAGGCTACCAGCCACCCATTTGTACCCTTTTATAACCTGAAGTATAAAACAGAACAATAAAATAAAAAGCCTGGAGACAAGACGGGGTGTGTGGAGACTTAGTAAAGTATAAGTTCAATGGATTATGGTACAATTATGTTCCCTGACCAAAGGGACTGAGATATACTCTTGAGGGCACCACCCCAGTCACAAGAGGGATACTGCCCCAGAGACAGTTTACTACCTTTATGTCTGGGAGTGTAGAGCAAGATGTTTCCAGTT